AAAAAAAAGATCTACATACGAAAGGGGCCTCTCCGGGTTCGGATCTGCTGTCAGATCCAGGGATGTGGGGGGGTTCTTTTGATATTGATCTCATATGGTTCAATTATGTTATAAGGTATCAAATGCATGCGGTTTCAAGTTATATTCTATTATCCTAATATTCCATCACCAATATCAGTCTAGAGCAGGCCCAGCCGCGGGTGAGTACAATAGTGGTACGGAATTCCTTGGTCTACCCCCCCACAGCTCTATATTGCTGTAATTAGGGACCATCGGCACTCGCCGAGGTTAAGCTCGGTATCTCGCACTTTGTACGAGCGGCTGGGACCGGAGGTACTCCGAAGATTGATTCTCCCCATTGCCGTACCACTACTCAGTTTGTCACGGAATGCGGTATATGCTTGGTCGCGCTGTTTGATGCCTTTCAGCTCAATTGCCCAGGTCAATATTATTTACTGTGATGATTGTACGGCTGCGGACTAGCCAGATATAAGAACTCGCTTCTCAACAGAATTGGGAGCGATCTCTAGGAAACCCACACAAAAACACATTAGTAATTTGGTTGAATTCGCGCGTTTATCATATTTTGCTAGTTAGTGACATACCACCAGAAATACCATACAAGTTCAGCCAGGTACCTTTGATGGAGCTTTGGTCGAGGCTCCTTGGAAATCTTATCAATGGGATAGAGCTTGTTGCTTATCGTGAAATGCGAGGACTCCCGAAATAGTTGCAGATAAGAGATACTTCATGTCCATGGGTTCAGAGCGAGTGGAGTTCGATCGAGCCGTAGCATAAATATCGTTGGCATTGTGAATGGTGATCTATGGCGCCACCGGAATTTTAGGAGAAACATGAAAGACATATGATGGTTGCGGATAAGAAGATTGATCTGATGAGAGGATGAAAAGGTAGACGTTCGAAACCAACATGTAGAGATTCACTATGTTCAATGTACTTTTTCATTATGTCCTTTTCATCGTCACCCAGACTTACTCTGTAGTTAATAAAAGATTGTAATTAGGATCAGGGGGATACCTCTAGCGGTTCTGTTGAAAGATCCAAATCCCATTGTACTGTCTTACTATAGATGCACAATTACCCCCAAAGGACAAGTTAAATGTCTCCCAAAACATAAACCAAATAATGTATGCATTCAGTAAAGTACCTACTCTTAACATGTAAAAATAAAAATTATGCCTTATGACACGTAGCTGTATTGATTAGTGCCTTCTTTGCGTTCGATGTATTCCTTCTCGATCAACCTAGGGAGAAAACAATGTTAAACATGATAACCGGAGACAACGGGGGAGTAATATTGATACATACTTCTCAATCTCTTTCTTAATCTCAGCAGGCTGAAGAGCACCCCGGGTCTTAGTGGCACTGAGAACCTCCGCAACCAGCTCGGCGTGGCTGAGGGATTTGCGGCTCTTCATAATGCGTACGATAGCAGCCTGCGTCTCAAACTGGCGATCGGCCGCAACCCGCTCATGCGTAGACTTAGTCTCCTCTTTAGTCTCCTTCAGCTGAATCTGGTTGATCTTAATGCGCAGTTGTTTGTCGCTGAAATTCGCGTTGTACGAGAATTGGTCGCTGGAGTTCACATCCTTGCCCTTGGGGTTCTTGGATAAGACTCGGTATTTGGCGCATGCCAAAGACTGGAGTGTTCGTTTCAATTCCGGGTCCGCTGTGTGTTATGTTAGGGATTGTTCGACGCTGGGGTGCTGCTGGATGGTCCACTTACACAATCCGGTTGCTTCTTGGATCTGGGTGTACGACATGCTCTCGCCATCGGGGATATCGTTAAATAGTAACAATACAATTGCCTGGAACGAGCTGACTACTAGGTTCTTCTTGCCTTGGGGGAAGTTTGCAGTCAGCTGACAATGTGCCAGTTGATGTTTCCAGGTGAGCTTGCGCCCTGTATGTTTGTTGTGGTAGAAAGTCTCGAATTTTTTGATCGAGCGTGCGATATTCGATGGAATGCGTACGGGAACATCGGGATATGTCGGCCAGGCGGCGGCAGAGAGCACGGCGACTTCGAATTCGAACCGACCCTTCCGCTCCTCCTGCTGAGACCGTCTGAAGGCTGTCATTTCCTCGTTAGCAGTGTCCATGTCGTTGAACATGGACTCGAGGTTATGAGTGAAACTGGACCCGCATTCTGATTAAATATTAGTCGAGGCGCATAAAGATAGGATCTTCGATGCGACAAACCGTTCTTCAAACGAGCTAACATGCTCTTTTCCGCATCATTGCTCGCGCTTCGTTTCATCAAGAGACGCCGAGCAAGGTCGTTCTTGTAAAAGGCTTCAAAGACGGCCTTTCCATGTACGAACCGGAAAAGGTCGAGAACTTGATCAAGCTGTCGATCAAGCTCTGCATCGTCGGACATCAGGCTTACTTCCTCTGGATTCCGGCCGGGTGGCAACTTGTAGCCGCCCTTAAGCAGCCTATCCACGTATTTGGCGATCATTTCACCCGACTTGGGGTTGTCGGTGCCACCCGTAGAATCCATCTTCTTCCCATGATTCATAAAGGTACCAAAGGCTTCGCGAAGGGTGTTACTCAACTCGTCGTTCGACTCGAAAGCATTTGACCAAAGATCATCAACCTTTTGCTTAAATTGGAGCAGGTGAACGACCATATCAACCTCCTTGTCTTGATCAAACATGATGCTCTCACCCCCCTCGACGATGTACTTTCTGAATGCAGGCTTCAATTGGAGGGTAAGATCTCGCCGGTCAAGCAAACCGTATAGTTGTTTCAAGGCGGTCTTATTGCCGGCTCGCATCAAACCAAGCACTTCATCTTCGTTGGTCAACACGTCGGCCTGCTGTGTAACTAGAGTCTCATCCAAGAGCTCGGACAGTTTAAGCTTCGTGCTTCGATTGAAAGAGAACAGACCGCATCGTTCTACTTCGCGTTCGATCAACCGGTGAGCATTCTCGACGTATGAAGCCAGGGATCCTGCTGCTTGTTGTTGAGACCACTCCTTCACAAACTCCTCCGACTTGGCCATGAATAAAGGCTCGAAGTCACTCCCATAAACATCGAGGCTGTGGAAAAGCTGCATTGCCTCTCTGAGTAGACTTGAATCTGCCAATGCCTTTGTAAATCCGCCTCGATCCGCCTCGATCAAATCATATGCTCCTTTCAAAATCTTTGGCTTCAGACTGGCGTCGGAGAAGATGTATGACCGGAATTGAATCAATCCCATTTCACGGATCACCGGTTGTTCTTTGGAATGCAAGAGGAATGACTGGTCGAGGTAATAGAAGATCCAGCGAACAGTAACCTGGTGGAGTGGAAAAGTTAGCTGTGAACCCCATTCATATTTCCTTGCCACATACTAGTTTCGAGTGCCAGGCCGACCATGCCTCAATCACTGCCTGCAATGTAGCGACATCGGTGCTACCTCCAGCTTTCGTAACAAGATTCGTCCGCATTGTCCCACTGACATACTCCCTGCACCGTTCCTGAAGCTTCTTTGCCAACAAAGCTGCCCGCTCCTGGCGGCAGACATTCTCCCCGCCCTTGTATAGCTCTTCCAGCGAGCTTTCTGGTTTCCTGCCATCGAAAATAGCCGTTAAAGCCGCATCCAACTGCGACCACACCTTATCGAAATATGATTCCTGGTTAAGCCGTGGCCCCGTACGAAGGTTCTTGACGACGAGCTTTTTCGCGCCGGTATGAGGAGAAAAGTTGTTTTGACGGGCATTAGCGTTCAAGCCTTGAGATCGGATGGGGCCATTTGGCCCAGACACTCCCCGACTAGGCGCGCCGTTCTTAGGCGGGGAACCGGAAATCGGATGCATCTTATGCGTGATGGGTTGGGTTGAGGGGCGTGAGGGAGATGGCGACAGACGAGAACGCTTATGGGTTTGAGAATCAATGTCGGGTGAGTACCTCTGAGAGAGGAGCTCGGAGATGGTTTGTTGCGATCGCGGCTGCGACCCTCCTTGATCAGAAAGCTTCCTCTTGCCGATCGATTGGCGCTTACCGCTCTGCTCGGTGTCGCCTCTCGAGTTCTGCTGCATCTACCCGGTTCAGCCCGACTGGGAGTTTGAGTCGTTCTAGGACGGAGACGATAAAGGATGTGGATTCCGGGAGACGTTGAGGGGAATTGACGTTGCGCTTGGGCTTTGGCTCCGCACGGCGATAAGATAGGGAGCTTACACGATGAACTGGACTTTTATAAGTTTATACTGAACTTCTACTTTTTGTTCATAGGTAACTTCCTTTGCCTAAGTAGATATCTGAAATGTGAATCTACTTCCACATCTACTTCACAACTACATGCATAGCCGTGGAAATAGTACGGAGTACATTGTAATCGGTATATACCGGCTAGACACCTGACTTGATATATCATAAGAGGAACTTGATTTCAAGTGTGATGAATCACTGATTAAGGTTATTTGCAGCCTATATGTATAGTGGACGGAGTACTCCGCACTCCATATAGCTTTCTACGTACCCTTGCCACATAGGACCCTTACACCGACTTTCGAGCATCAATTTCATCGATACAAGACCAATAGCCACGACTCTGCTACAATGACTAAAGTCGGAAAGTTAACCAGGCTTTGAACAGTGAAGCCTGTCCGGGAAAGTATATGGCTTATCGGTCCCCTTCTTCTCGTCGCTCAAGCAGCTACTCCAACGCCAGCATGGCTTGGCGACCTTGATGCGGTTCTTATATCCATCCACATAGGTGCCTACAATATACGTACATAGTGTGTCGAGGTACGTAAGTTCCTTCGGGAAACAATAGGAATCAGTTTATGGGGAAGTATATAGTGCAATACACCGTACATTTAAACTCATTATGTATATAGTTCATGATACGCATTCAAGTAATGCAACGCTGGTAAGTACACGATCATCAATGTAATGTCCACAAGTTCTTGATGAGGCTTTGTCTTTTGAAAAAGAGTCAGAGTGTGTAAGGAACCATGAAGACGTAAACTCATAAGAATAAAGGAAAAGACCGATCAATCAACACGCGGAGGACTCCTCGATTTCTTTCCCATAGGACTAGCGCTTGTCCTAAAGAATTCCGCTATTAGCATCTTGCTTCTGTTCCGTCTACGGCGATGTGCAGCTAGGTAGCATAAGGGTGACATACGATCGTCGACGCTCGCCTTCTTTCCGGAATCCTTCGATGATCTTGGCCATTTCTTTGCGAGACCCACTGGCGTCGATCTTTCGCCCTCCAAGACTCATACTCACTTTCTCATGTGCGCTCGCCATCAGCAACCGCTTCATGAGAAGATACCGCATATTCATACACACGTACACGCCGCAGTCGCTGCCGCCGTCTTGCTGGGGTGAGTCGTTTAGATGCAGGAACCTAATGGGCACGTTTAGGAGGTATCCGAATTTGCGAGTGACCGTGTCTGCTTCCCAGACGTTTCCTTGGTATAGCGAGTCATAGTGGAATGCGATGCGGTCGACGACCGAGATCAACAAGAGGGACCAGTGCGTGCCTCCTTCTGCTTGGGAGACATTGCGACAATCGTTGATGGGGAGGAAGACATGGGTTGCTCGGCTAAAGTCCGGGAGTGCTTCGCGGAGGGTGCGTGGGTCCGGGGTCTGAAGGATCATGAATGACATGCTAGGGCGGAGAAGGACGATGTTGGAGGATTGGTATCGTGCAAGAAATTCATGTTCGAGATATCTAGAGCAAGCAAGTCGAGAATCAGTGCCATGTTCGGTACTGTGAAGTATGCCGGGCCGACTGTAGGGACTTACTCCTCCCAGAATGAAATGATCTATGACAAATTAGCTCATGTGTCCCAGCTAGCAGGGTTGTCTCGCCATTGAAACCCACGTTATCTGTGAGCCAGTCGTTCTTGAGAGTTTGCATATCCTCTCTTGTCACTACTTGTTTGTTAGCCGCCTAGAACCTTCCTCGCTTCGGGGTTTGATTCCACACATCGCACGTCGTAATCTATGAGCACCCAAGGACGACTTGTAAGTATACCGTCTTCAAATCATCAAAGCGACAAGTTCTGTTCCAGAACTTACAACTCAAAAAAGCATCATCTGGATTCAACTGCGCAAGTCAGTACATGTGCCGCTAGTGCCAATCGAGCCAAACTCACCTTATCGCCAAAGCGCCCGCGTACCTTGCGCAACATGATGACGATATGTTATGTGTGTTGAAGTCACAAAACCGAGTTCAGACCGCTAGAAAATGAATGCCGTAGAAGCCGTGGCAAGGAAAGCTATACACTGCGCCACAGTCAAGAACGCGAAATACGTCCTAGGCTCCGAAGATAGCCAAGACAAACCCCACAAATCGCGGTTATGATAAACGGGGCAGATCTTTGTGCAGAACTTGAGAGTTCGGGATGCCCCGCGCACAATCTAAATGCGATTCACGCTGTAATATGCAGTGGCGGACAAAGTTGGAGGCAAGAGACGTCGGCACTGTCCCGAGTGACAGGCTCGAATGTTTCCCCCGTTTCTGCACTGGCGGAGTGGAAGTGGGACCGGTCGGGACCTCGGGATTAGGCGGCGGGGCGCTTCGGAGGGGGAGGCCGTCAGCCTTACAGGTGGCGGACAAGAAGAGAGGCGGAGGATGGAGGGCTTGAATGCTAATGCTGATTTCAATTGTGCTTATGGACAATAGCTGAGTATGCAGAGTATACCAAGGTTAAGAGCAAATAGATTAGGCAGTGGCCGTGCAGGGGAGGGTTAGACCCAGTCTGTGGGTTTCGGATGATGCAATCGGGGACACAGGAAGAGGAGGTTATGAGAGGAACACAAGACGAGGGACAAATTCTCAAAAGAACTGGATTCAGGCCAAGATAAGGATGATCAGGCTGCGTCACATGTGGGGGTCACATGATGCTACATAAAGTATATGGAGATAGTGGATTATACTGTTCAATACTGATGGGAATTATAAGAGTATAGATACACAGAATTCAATCATCATACGCCCATCATTTGAATATGCAGGAATTATTAAAAGAGTTGAATTCACAAGAAAGAGGGGTATCTAAACGTGCATCCCAGAGCTCCAGTAGAAGAAGAGGTTCAGAACATGCGCGGAGATGGGAGGAAATGAACTGAGAGCGCAACTGAAATCAAATAGAAGAAACAAGGGAGCAAAGCAACTGAGATGAACAGAAAAGAAAACGACCATAAGTCATCAACACGAAATGACGCCGAATAAGGCCAACGCAGATCAAAGCAAATCAAAGCGGCAACATTGCAATGTAGTAGCTTTTGTTTTGCCCTGGTCTCCAGGAGTATTATTTTGAAAAGAAAAGAAAAATATGAAGACAGATCAGAAAAAATTCAGGCGAAAGAAACATGGAATATGATCCTGTAGCTCCTGTAGTTAGTATGAACCCCTTATGGGTTTTGCAGATTTTTGAGAAATAATTGGCAAATACATCGAAAACATGGCGTGAAATTGTTAATTCAGGTGCTGAGTCGGGCAAAATGCTTGTTCCAAATCCACCCAACTGTCCTGGTAACATCGTCCTGATTACGGGCAAGCCAAAGCTCGCCCTTCTCGCCTATGACGTCGAAGATATCCCCGGACGCGTAGGTCAGATAGGGATATCCACCCTCGGTACGAGCGTCGATTTCAAAGTCATAAACACTCGCCGCGCAGAACAACGTTGCAGGGCCTACGGGAGGGGCGCTGCGTTCAAAGTGTCCATCCACAACGGTATCACTTGGCACATCCGACATGGGCATGGCAGACGAGAAAAATCCCGAGTATCGATCAGTCGGGGAGGTTGGCGCATTGCTCGAGTGCGAGGAGCTGTTGATCACATCCTCGAGGAAAGGTGTGTCTAGGCTGAGTCTCGGTAAGCTTGGGAACGGCTCGACGTCACTCGTCCTCCCAGGGGTGGAAGAACTGGTAACTTGCTGCAGCAGTTGATTGGGAGTGCCTGGGACAATTCGACCAGATAGAATGGAATCAGCCCGGTAACGGCTGCTGCGGCTGGAGTGGCTTTCTATCTGAGGAGACTGGAATGATTGGCTGCCGACGCTGAAATCCCGGGACATTTTGGGTGAATCATCGTTCATAGACCCAGGTCGCGCATTTGAGCTGTTCACCGTAGAAGGACGGCGAGGTGACATGGGGTTTTGACGCTCACTGGGTGAAAGTGGGACCAAATTGAGCGAATGAGCTATCATCGCCCCGTTGCAAGAGCTTAGCTCCGCCACTCGTGCTTCCATTAAAGTGTGGTCGCTATTGAAGTCGCTGATGAGCCTGTCGAGGTCATTGGGGAATAATTCCACATGAACACCAATCTTTTTCTGTAGAACGCTGTACCACACAGTTTGAATTTCGATAAAGTTCTTCAGACATGCTGCCATCAGTTTGGCAGTCAACGCATAGAGCTTAGGCAATTCATCCTTCAAAGTATCATTCAAAGCCAGGAATTGCTCGCCCTGTTCGATAGTCTTCTTATCAGGTTTGTCGCCACGGTCTTTAATGGCTTTGTAGCGCGCATATTCCGGGAGTCGCTTGTCGCGCTTCCGCATGACTCGCTGGGGTGCATTGTATAGTCCTAGTAGTTCAACCATCGGATCAATAACCGTTTTGCGGACGACAGCAAGCTGCGTTTAAATGTTAGTATTTTGTTCAAAATGTAAACGCGACACAACGTACATGTTCTGGCAGAGCAGTCTTCACAAGTTCCTGAACTGTCATCTTGAACTGATGCCACTTGATCTCCAATTGTGGATACGGAGAAGGCGACATGCTAACAATCTCTTCAATCGAATCGGCATACTCATTGAACTGGTTCACGTAAAGTTGCACATCTCGGGAATAACTCTCGGCGTCACGCATGACAACCTGCAACTGGAAATAGCCGTCGCTAAGCTTTTGCGCTAGCGAATCATAGGTTTTATCTTCAAACAGGTCGGAGAGGCCAACTTGCTGTCTGAATTTCTCTGTGCGGCGACCAAATGCTTTAGACAGACCGGTGCGCACATCGGACTGGTTGCGCTTTCGACCGACGGCTTGACCAACAAGGTCTACTCGTTTCTTCAGCTCGTTGATACGATGAGAAACATTTGTGACCTCTTCCAGGGCACTGGCAATCGCCGCTCGGTCGGGGTGGTCGTTTGGCGTGGACTCCAATAGATCGCGGAGAATAAGGGGATACTTCAAGATTCTTTGCACGGGTTTAACAAGCAAAGAGTCCAAATCCCAGGCGGTGGTGAGATCCATAGCACCCTTCTGACATTCGCTCAGCCAAAAGCTGACTTTCGGATTACGCTGCACAACCTGAAGTTTCTTGTTTGCAGTATCGTGGTTCTTCAAGTAGTCGGTGTACACCTTTTCCATCTGCGCCATGTGGGTGACAAAAATCTGACCCACAGAGGTCGCGCGATCCTTTTCGAGCTCTGACATTCCTGCAAGCTCGGCTGCTTCATCGGCCTCTGGGGTAGTGGACTCGGCAGACTGATTGTTGCGCTTTCGCTTGCTGGTCCATCGCAGAGCCTTTGGTATAACGTAGATGCTTTGAGCTGCTTGTTTTAGATCATACAAAAACTTGTCGGAAAATGCCGCGACTTGATCGGAATTGGCGAAGAGAACCTTGACATCATCGGGATCCAACACTGTGAGCGAGGTACTCTTGTAGATATCCTCAATGATTATCATATCATGACCAAAGGTGTGTTCCGTATCAACAAGTTCTTTGATTATGTGACGCCGCTTCTTGAGACGTCGTTGTTCCGGAGAAGGTGAATCCTTTGGCTCAACCCTAATGGTTTGCTCAGTAGACGGAATAAGCGAAGTAGCGGAGGAGTCAGCGGCCATAGAAGATTGAATAGACTCCAAAGTTTGAAATGAAGAGTCTTGACTGCTACCCGGGCTGTGTCCCGCAGCAGTGTGTATACCGTGGTTGAGTCCAATGTGGCCCGAAGAGATAAGCGGATTTTCACCTCCAGGAGGTTCATTATCGAGTGATTGAGTTGTTGAAGACGGGGGGAATGTTGATGAAGGGAAAACACTAGCCTGGGTCTGCTCGTTGGGAGCTTGGATATCAACGGAGAGTCCAAGACCACTGTTTGTACTCGATGCGCCCACGTCGTGGACTGCCGAAGGCACCACGCGTGGTGTGAGCAACCCTTCAGTACGCATGCCATCAGTTTCAGTGTCCGGAGTCATAACTTCATCTTCAGCTGCAACCTGCATCCAGTCCATGATAGAGGGAGATGCATGTTCCCAATCATCTCGTCCAACCAAACTAGCCGTGTGTGAGAGTTTATCGGAGGCACGGAACTCTTGGAATTCTGGCACGATGACTGGATCGTCAGTCAGACTACCGGGTCGCCCATTTGTACGTGTATCCATGGGATGAGATCGAGGCTCGGACGAGATGTGAATTGTTGAGCCAGGGTATTGGCTCCTGCCTCGCGTCAACTCCTCCAGATAAAGCTGAGTGGCACGCTTCGAGTCCCATTTGCCCAATCTAGCCAAGCTTGGGGGGTAGAGAAGGCATTGGGTCGAAACTGCTCAGATGCATGAAGTGTGTTTGGTCCCATTACGCCATGATCCTGAATTGGACCTGATGATTCATTGTCCACTATTGAAGCTGGCCTTGTTGAGACAGCTGAACAAGTTTCAGTTGGTGGTTCTGTTTCACGGCCTTGTAGCAGAGAATCATCCCCACTCTCGTCACACTGCTCGTCACAGGTGGAATGTTGGTTTTGTATAGAGGACCATGAACTGATGCTCCATCGGTTGTGAAGATGAGTCCCATTTTGAGCCCGGTTCATTGATGAATGCTCAGCCTCTTGAGTATTGGTGCTGCTAGACGAATTGTAATAGGTCGTATCTCCAAGCATAATCTGGATGGATTCTCTGTCGTCGTTCTCTGACAGACTACAATCGGGTTCATCGCATGAGTCGTCACTCGGGCTGTCGCGGATTTGCATTATTTGATCCAGAATAGTTCGATGAGAAATGCTGGGATTGCGCTGCAACAGCCCGGACTGCGGCTCCGGATCAAAAGTAGTGACATGGGTATCGCCGGAGTCCGACGTAGCAGCCGAATGTGTTATGACACCATTGGTAGGCTGTTTTTGATCTGCAGTCGTCGAATTCATACCCTGTGGGAGGCCAAGGGTGGGAGAGTCCATTGTTGTGTGGGGCGCTGCCATATCCGAGGCCGGCAGGGCAGTGTTGAGGTGCAGCCTAGGCACGGCATGAACCATATTTTCCTTATACTCAACCGAGTCGGTCACCTCTTCGACCATCGTAATCATCTCATCGGATGACGGCGCGTTAGTCATGGGTACGTTGGGGGTAATTGTAGGTTCATCTGTCGGTTGCTTGAAGTCTTCATGCGTCTCCTGCTCTCGCGCCAAAGCGTGATGTCGAAGCTTTGCCTTTGCAGCAGTTGATATGTCCGGTCCTCTGTCATTCTGATTCTTTTCAGCAAGGGGGGTGCCTGAGTGTCGGTTGATGGCCTGTTGAATGTGCCGCCGACGAGCGTCAAAATCAACCTTGCCCAATTCGGGTAATTTGCGTTCAGGACGAGACCGCGAGCCGCTGTGGCTGGCTTGTTTTTGTAAATTCAAAACTCTATCTCCGATTTTGGAGCGTGGGGGAGACCGCGGCACCATGTGAGACGGGTTGTCGAGGTCGTGAACTGCGCAACGGAGGCGACTTTTTGGGCGGCGGCTCAGCGATGTAGGCCTGAAGTCGCCGGCTGGATTCAGATAATTGATTGCGGGTTCGGCCAATTGTTAGATCCCGTCTACCACGCGAGGTTGTCGCGAACGAAGAGGGATCGTCTGCTGGCATGCGAGGAGGACTTTGTTTAGGTGACGGAATAGGAAGGCGACTACTGCCCTTGGGCGGCGAGGTGATGGCAGCGGATCGGCTGCTGAAGGTTGGATTGGAGGAGGGTGATAAGCTTTCGGGGCCGGAAGCAGTGAGGCGGTGCGAGAAGACAGGAATGCGAGACTTGGAATTTGGACTGTCCGGGGGCGATCCATGGCCGGGTTTGGTCCGGCGCAAGGGCGCAGGTACCGCCATTTCAGGATTCCACGGTTCTGCAAGGGGTTCTCTTATTTTATCCAAGTCACTTTGAACTCGGCGATGTTTACCGGTTGTATTTATCCCGTGGACGGCCTCCAAAGAAGTTGTGTGTCCAAGATACCATGCAGTAGGTGTAAGTGGTGATTTTGCGGGATATTGATCGTGATGCTCAAGGAAGGCTGGGTTTGGACTTGGAATACTTCCATCCGACCCGCGGCGTTGTTGTAGACGCGATATGACTCCGTTGTGAATCTGTGTGTTGATCGGCAACAGTTCACCGAATAATGGCCGGCGAGGATGCGACACCGGGGTCCGTTGAAACAGAGGTGGCGGAATAGCACCGTTTGTGTCTAGGGGCGGACCGAATCTCTCTATCTCCGGCGACGATGGGGTCGAATCGACTATCGCTTGAGAATTGGTGGTCGACTCTGGTAGGGAATCACGATACTGACGACGTCGTGGCAATACCCGATTTCGCTCTCCGTCAACACTTCCGGAAGGGCTTGGTGCCCTTGAGGCCGGACGAGAAACAGATGGCAAAGGTAAGATCTGATCGGACGTTTTGTTGAACTTGTTGACAAGATCTTTGAACGATGGCTGTCGTGATCTTTGGTTCGTTTTCAACGGAGGTATGTTGGCAGAGGGAGCTCCTAATGTTGGAGAATCTGAGGTTGAGCGATATGGTTGACGTCTAGCGCGCGATGACTCCAACATGTTTGTTGGCAGGGGTGACACTTTGTCACCGACTGCAGGATAGTTGGCCGCAGCCATGCCCGTTATTACATCGCCGAACCCCTCTCTTACATTGGACGATGTTCCTGGCAGGGATCCACGCTGGCGATAATAGTCAGCAGGGTCTGGAGACACCCCTCTACTATCTTGCAATTGATCGCCCGACAGGTGATTTGCGGAAGAGGAATTATGGGGACGAATGGAGCCCGACGGTGAAAAATACGTGGTCGATGATTGTGCCTGGGGGGAGAAAGAGTCGGTCGGCGAGTCACCTAAAGAAGTGGTAGTGTGCTCATTGACAGATTGGCCAAATACCGGGGCCGACGATTGTCGCCCAAACGGAGGCGGCTCGCAATACCGGACATCAAAACCCTGCTCGTCACCGCCAGACATCTTGCATGCTTCAGGCCGACAGGTCGACGTGGACTGGTCGCGGCCTTTTGGTTCTGGGCGGGTTGAGCTGGTGCGTTGTTCCGGGATGGTCGCCCAACGGGAATGTCGCAGATGAGTCGATTCAGGCTACAAAGCAATCCTCTCGGGTGGCGCACACCCATTCAACATTCATGTTTGAGACACTTGCAAGCTCATAAAAATAAACCGATATCGAGGGGAATATGTCCCCCGTCGAACCTAAATTGGAAAGGTGAATGGGGTTCAGATCGGGAGAATCGGGGAATAGTAGGGTGGTGAGATCGAGGATCGGCCGGTTGCCGAATTTACACTGGAGGGCGAATAAGAGGATCGAGCTCAAACTGATGTTTTGTCTATCAACAGTGGACGCTGATAGGTGATGGAACCTGGTAGTTGAGGGGTTTGAAAGCGAATCCTGGCGGTGGGCCGGTTTGTTAGCTCTCCGGGCCAATCCGTTTTGATCGGGCTGACCTACTCCAGTGTCGATCTATTTTTGAACAATAATTTTGTGATGTATGGGAAGGAATTATGAGGAGTCCGAGGAAAGAGATTTGGGATGAAAGAAGAGGGAGAAGAAAGAAATTGGGGTTGAAACATCTAATGTGAAACTGTGAATTTTAGATGTGGGTTTGTTTGTCTTTTCATCGATATTTGATGCCTTCAGGGCTGTACTGTATAATATGGGTACCCCATGTATATCTTTATGTACTTTTATATACATTATAGATAGTGAAAATACTTCCATCATATATATAACAGCTACAATACTGTAACTAAGGTATCGTGCCTCTTCAGGAACGAGATGGAAGACCCGTGGATGACGCAGTGGAGACGCAATAGACCAGTATCTAGACCGTCAGTTCCATGGTTCAGTCTGATGTTTAACTGGTAGCGTTGATTGGTTCCTGTCCTGATTTCACGTGTTTACATTCGAAGTCTCTATATTGTATATTCTATATACATACTTTAGAGACATTCAACGCCGATTATACATATATATGTATAAAAACAACTGATATCAGAAAGGTGTCTGAATTTGAAAGGGCAAGAGCCCATTCCCGCATCCGAACTTCTTGTTTGCCGAACCTTGACGCGTCGCGTGTCTTGGGAACTCAAAACGATTGACCATGCAATGGAGTCAACTTGAGAAAACCACAGGGTGAAAAGACATTATTTAATTGCCGAGCATGGCCAAAAAGCGGAAAAGACCCATTAAGGACCGCGGTCCCGCGTCTCACATTGGTATCACCACAGCTCCCCGTTTCAGAACGCCCCATGCCCCAATTTCCCACGCAAAAACAAGCCATCCCGTTATATCCCTATACTACCGACAGGTCGTACCTTTGCGGGAGTTCCTGCTCCAGCAACTTCCCGTGACCTCCAAGTCGCGTCGGCGCCGCATCTTGACATTGGATTCGCCTGAAAACCAAGATACTAATGCATCCCAAACGTTGGCGGAGCTGCTAGACTCCACCCTGGTGGGTGTGCTGAAGCAGTCTTCTCCGACCCTCAATTCGGAGCGACAAAAAGAATACTCATCTTTTAATGCGTCTCAATCGCGGTCTATCCTCGCCAGCACCGATACGGGACCGACCTGTCCACAGTCTGAGGTGCGTCCGTGGCCACATCATTTCTAGGTACCAGACCACTGACCCTAGCTGTAGGTGGTTGACTTTGTGATCTGGAAACTCTTCAATCATAACAATGGCTCCTATCAAAAGCAACAGCATTTGCTGACGTATGGCTTCCAACGCCAGTCTATGGGGCGGACTGCTCAAGCGACTAGTATTCCAGGCATTGTGTCTCAAGTTGCGAATCAGAATGTCCAGGTTCTCACAGAGGGTGCATGGGCAGAGGTCCTTGGCTTGCTCGGTAGTAATGGGGAGGATATTATGATGCAGCTCCTTTTCGATTGCGGAATATTTGCCGCTATCAACGCCCAAAAGGGCATCTACTACCAACTCAGCGGTACGGGGTTATCAAGGGCGAAGAGAGAGATATTCACCGTGATGTGCTGATGCTTTTCTAGGTTTACCGCTCTCGGATCTCAAGCCTTTGAGCGATGCGTCCCCGGGAGTCAATGGGTTTGCTGCCACGGCACAAGACCCAATGCCTACCACTGGTCCGGGACATTCCGAAGATGAAGCTGAACGCAAACAGAATTCCGATAAGACAACTCAAACGCCAAACGACATTGTGTTTCTACGGCGGCGTATTCTCTATGGACGTGCCGAGTCCAAAAAGCAAGTCTCCTCTGGACTAGGACAAACACGTACGTGCTTCGCAGTTTGAATGTCAGATTTTAGGTTTACGCTAATTTCCACTCTAGATGTTCTTAGCCGCTTCTCATCGCTAGACTCGATGGCGCAAACAGTCCATGTAATGAAGTACATCTTTCCTCGGCAATTTGGCCTACTGAATGTATTTACGTTGGGCCCGGAGGCACGCAAAAACGTGGATGCCTCGAAGAGTTTCATATTTCGTGAGAGTGAGATAGCTCGTCTGGAAGAAGAGAAGCAACTACAGCGGCCCCGGCTCGGGAATGAATTCGCAGACGCAGATTCTGGCGGCGTGAGAAGTGTCAAGGTACCTAAAAGGCTTCGTGGAGTCACCATAGAGCTTGTGCGGAAGCTCCGGAACCGCAACGCACGATGCTCCTACGGAGGGTTGTTGCAATACTATTGTCCAACCGAAGTGAGACACTTTTTGTTTACAATAGCTAGGATTGTGTAGCTGACCTTTGATAGCAAACCGGACCCAGGAGACACGGCACATTTGTCGCTACCTCCACACCTGACACCAAAAAAAGCGAGCCTATCTCCTCTCTCCAGTCAAATTTAGTAACACAGGTGCGAGTAAACCACCCGTCGTCAAGCGATAGTTCGTCGCAGACCTCAGATGATGTCTCGGGATTAGAACCGCACATGGCTATCGATCCATCTAAGGTCGATGCCAATAAACTGGTTCGAAAAAATCCAGTCAGTCTGACTGACTATGCGACTCCGGCGTCTTCTGTCTCAGCATTTTGTCGAGCGGCGATCCAGAAAGTGATCCCCCGACAGTTTTGGGGGGTTGGTCCGGATGGTATCTCGAACCTAAGGCTTGTTCTCAGACATGTTGACCGGTTTATCAAATTGCGCCGATTCGAAAGTCTAAGTCTGCACGAAGTCTGCAAAGGTGTCAAGGTTAGTCATTGCGCTGAAAACTGATCGTCTGAGACAAAGCCGTACTGATCCACACGCTAGACAACAAGCATTCCTTGGCTGGAGCCACCCCAGGTCCAGACTACTTCATCTGAGACAAGATCGAAGATCGCCCTGTCTGACTTGCACAAACGCACTGAACTACTCCATGAATTCATGTTTTGGATTTTCGATTCCTTTCTTATTCCTCTTATTCGTTCGCACTTCTATGTCACCGAGTCACAAACGCACCGAAACCGCCTTTTCTATTTCCGCCATGATCTGTGGCAGCAGTTGACCCAGCAACCTTTCGGGGACTTAAAAGCAACGATGTTCGAGGAGCTCGAGCCAGATCAGGCCCAACGTGTGCTGGCACGGCGCTCCCTTGGTTTTGGTGCTCTCCGTTTGCTTCCCAAATCTACAGGCCTCCGGCCCATCTTGAATCTTCGCAAACGAGAGTTCAAGAAATCGGCATGGAAAAACCGGCCGATGTACCTTGCCGCCAGCATCAATTCAAGTATTACACCTATTTATAGCATGTTGACCTACGAGCGCCAGAAAGCTCCTGCTAAATTGGGCTCGTCAATGCTCTCCGTTGGAGACATGCACCGCAGATTGAAGGCGTACAAAGAACGGCTGTCCAAACGACTGCCTTCGGTTTCTAACCCTTCTCGATCCAATCTCCCACCGATGTACTTTGTCAAGCTTGACATCAAAGCTTGTTTTGATACTATCCCCCAGAAAAGGTTGCTCGAGCTTATCGAAGAGCTGGTCTCTGAAGAAAGCTACCGCATCTCAAGATATATGGAATTCCAACCGCCTGTTCCTACTGTGCAACATGGATATTCCACACGAAGATATAGGAGCCGCGCTGCGCCTGCGATGAGACCGCAGAACCTACCAGATTTCGTCAATAGCGGAGGCGCGCCGCGAAAGGCCAACACCGTTTTTGTTGACAATCAAGCTCCACAAGAACGCGACGTTGAGAGTCTATTGGAACTCCTCGATGAACATGTCCGAAGCAATCTCGTGAAGATAGGCAAGAAATATTTCCGCCAACGCAACGGCATACCTCAAGGCTCCGTGCTATCCAGTATTCTTTGCAATTTCTTCTACGCCGAGCTAGAGCGAAAGGTTCTGGCTTTTATCAAACCCGAGGACTCTCTTCTCCTGCGACTCGTGGATGACTTCCTCCTGATCACACCGGATGTAGCCGTGGCAATGCAGTTCCTGGAAGTAATGATCAGAGGCCAGCCATTGTACGGCGTACAAGTCAATCCAGCCAAAAGCATGGGCAATTTCAGCGCAGCGGTTGATGGCATTTTGCTCCCTAGATTAGAGGGGACCCTATTATTCCCGTATTGTGGTAGTCTCATCGACACCCACACGTTGGAATTCCACCGCGATCGAGATCGCATTCTAGAGGGCGGCGAATCAGCTGCTGCTACTCTCTCCAACACCTTGACCGTTGAGGCCACCCGCCTTCCCGGCCGCACATTTCACCGTAAAGTGCTTTCCTCATTCCGCTTGCAGCTACATCCCATGTACATCGATGACGGACACAACTCGCGTGCAGTTGTGTTAGCCAATCTCTACTGCAGCTTCATCACTTCTGCCATGAAGATGTACCGCTATATGAAATCGCTTCGGGGCCGTGCGCACCCCGGCCCTGCCATTATAACACAGACTATCCGCGATCTGATTTTGCAGACGGCTGACACAATCCAAGCCCGGCGTGCTGGCTGTTCGGTGGCTTCATTCTCGTGCTTCGTCCATCGGTCTCATCTGCAGTATCTGGCTTCTGCAGCGTTTCGATTCGTTTTGAAGCGCAAACAAACGCGGTATTCGGCGGTGCTGCGTTGGTTGGACTCGATGACGAAAGATGCTCGACCTACGTCAGATTCCGAAGCTTTAAGGATGACGCAGGTGGTGAAAAGTGGAAATGCGATGTTTGAGGAATGGCGGTTCTAGAATATTTCTAGAGTGCTGGACTGTGGAATGTCTATCCAAATAAACAGTGTATCAATTGCTGAATTTGTACAATCGTACATGAGCCAATTAAATGTTACATACTGCGCCACATATATTCACAGCACAAATCCGACTGAATGCGAAAGATCTCGATGATATTTCAGGGGTTTAATTCATAGAGTGAAGGCTGTGTAGGTATATCCCTTCCCATCTGGGAGGTTTCCTATAAATGTATTGAGTACTTAATACTTGAGTGATACTTCTTCATCCCCCTTTCTCCACTAGTGGCTTAAGGTATCACCGAGGTACCCCCCTGTTCTCGGCCAGACCGATGCGGCCTGAGGCTTTCTCCGCTTGCAGACTTCAGCATCACCGTTTCTTCTTTTCTCTCTCTTTGGATTTTGCTCTTCGTCTCTCGTTTGAATCTTCTGCTTCTTCTCTGTTTGCTTTCCCCCACATTCATTTCTCGCCTTTTTTTTGTTTACACTCCACCCCTGGCCCCCCATGGTCAACCCGTAATATCCTCTCATCCCTATTTACACGATTACACCTGATCTGGATCTCATCAGGCTGCGGCTGTGCCTGCAATTCATTTCTATTTTAATCGACTTCTATTGTGTTATTGTTCCTACCTGACCCTCGCTCTCCAAACACACCGATCCTCGCGTTCGTTTTCGGCCCCCTTCCGGCCATCCCGTCGATTTCCTCCCCTGTGTTTTTTTTCCCGGGTAGATCAGAACTGTGGGGGTTCAATACGTCTGGATAATTACATGAGACCATGACCACCGTTTGTCCGACACCCAATTCTCCCCCCGAGCTCTCCGGGTCCAAATCCTCCAAATCCTCCTCGTTTCATTCCTCCTCCCACCCAGATGGTCCGGACAGTATCTTTACGGATATCTCGAATTTCGAAGACATTGGCTTGGAAGATGATGCCGATTTGTCATACGCCGATAAGCCAGGATCCTACGGCCGCCCTGGGGTAATGGCGCGGTCGCCCGCCGCCAGAATGTCAAGCAAAGTCCCTGCGGCCTCAACTCGCGACTTGACCGCGACCCTCAACCCTCGCAAGCGAAGCCCCCTACCCCCGATCCATAGTGGATCGGCCAAACCACCTCAATTGGCAGGCACCCTCTCAGTCAGAACTGGAAACCGGAGAAGTTCGGGCAACACGCTGCAGTCACCCGGTTTAGCACCATCGCAACCTCGCCGTTCACGATCTGTCTCACCCTTACGGCCGACATCCAGCCGCTCTAACTCGAGTACCAGCCTAGCTCTGTCTCCGCTATCCGCACGAGTGCCCATCCAGAAACAAACCTGGCAACCGAATCGCAAATCACTTAAAGACCTGGAGGAAGAATACCACGACTCGGACGATGAACTACCGGACGATGCAAGTCTGTGGAACATTCCTATTTCTCCGCGCCCAGTCCAAGATCGGACTCCATCACGGCCTGCTAGTCCGAATGGTCGCAGTCCCGGACGGCGACCACTGCCTATCCAGCATACCGTAGCGGAAACCGATAAGCCAGCGTCACCCGGAAACACGGCCAAGGCATCCCGCATGAAGCGTATACAGCGATCGAGCTCCGCAGGACCGGAGCGTGGACAACTCTCCCCACGCAACCCTCGCACCTACTCGTATAACAGTTTCCTATCTGACTTGTCAGAAGAGGCAAAGATCATCACTGAAGCTCTGGAGCTGCATGCTGATGATAGAGATCGGAAGCGGGAGGAGCATATTCAAACTGGTGCTCCGCGGAAGTCGAGTGAGGACTCGCATCGCGCATCCCGTGATGCTATCGCTCTGCCGCCTCTGCAGAAATCAAATATCATGGTCGACCCCCTGCCAATTAGCAAGGAGAAAGAAAAGGTCCTGACGCGGACACGCCCAAGCTGGCTTCCGCCTAAGGACCAGAAGGAGGAGAAAAAACATCTGAGGCAGTATCAGCAAATGATGGCCCAGTCTCGAGAAACCGGTATGTGCTAAGACAAGATTCCTGAAGTATTTTCGGCCTTCTAATTGGGATTTCAGAGAAACGCAAAGCTGCCAAGGATGCCAATGCGCAGTGTGAAAAGGACAACACCAGAGTAACACTGCAGAACATCTGGGATGAATATGTGTGCCCGAATTGGGATCGCGCTCTCCGCGAGCCCCGAATTCGCGAGCTATGGTGGCGTGGAATTCCGCCTCGCAATCGGGGCACCATATGGAATAAAGCCATTGGCAACGAACTGGCATTAACAGAGGAAACATTTACCAAAGCGCTGCGCCGAGCAAAGGATCTCCAAAGCAAGAAGGATGCAGAAAGCGAGAGCAACAAACGGCTCCTGGACTGCTTTGAAGCAATCGAAACAGACGTGCCCAAGGCCTTCCCAGATCTGAACCTCTTCCAAGCAGGCGGTCCACTACGGGAAACCCTCATCGACGTCCTGCAAGCATACTGCATGTACCGCAGCGACGTAGGCTACATCCACGGCCTGCACACCATCGCCGCCCTCCTCGTTTTGCAATTCCCCACCCCCGCTTCCGCCTTCCTCGCTATGGCCAACGCCCTGAATCGTCCTTTACCCGTCGCATTCCTCACTTGGGATCGAGGAGCCATGGCCCGCTCCTACACACTAGCCTCAGACACCTTGCGCTACAAGTTCCCCCGTCTACACGCTCACCTGGCTGAAACTCTCCACCTCTCCGAGGCAGAGATCTGGGAGCCGATCTTCCGCTCGCTGCTGACAAACGGCCTGGACCTTGAGCGCATCTCCCGCGTCTGGGACTGCTGGGTCTTCGAAGGCGACCGCATCATGATCCGCTCTGCCGTCGCCATTTTAGGCTGTCTCCAAGCCCAGCTGTTCTCCTTCCACCAGACTGATGACCAGTCCCGTCTTGCTGTGCGCGACGTGCTGGGCTGGGGTCCCCGCAATCTCGGAGCAAACACCCAGAAACCCAAAGATCGGCACAGCGCCCCTGCCGCTGCTGGCTTTGGCGGTGGGCAGATCCAGAACCCCGGTGTTGCTGATTATTGGGTTCTTACTGCTGTAGGCGACGAAGATGGGTTTATGGATGCCGTTCGAGAGGCCGGGAAGGTTCGTCAGCCAATTCAACAGGCTTGTTGAATATGACACAGGCAGTGTTTGCGTCTTCAGAGTCTGTGCTTTATCAGAGTCTGCCAGGTCCTCAATTCCACCCCTACCTCTTCTTTATCTTCCGTCTTTTTCTTCCTTGCCATACCCCTATCCCAACGATGTCTCATCAATCTTGACATCCACTCGCTATCCCGGAAAACGCATAATACGACATGATAGCTCGGCCAACATGTCTGCTTGCCTTACCACCCATTTTCTACCCCGTATACGACACATGTCACTCGTTGCACAGTCGTTTTCTGTATTCATTCTCTACATTTTGAACCGGGAACCACTCGTTTCTGTCTTCTCGGTAAATTTTCTTCTTTTTTTTTCCAGGGATCCCAGTATTCTTAGCTCATTGATTGGTCCTTTTTTTTCTTCTCTTTTTTTCCCCCGCTTCTCTATCTTGTATTCTTAGCCTCACTTTCATGTCCTGACGCATCGTTGTTTTTCATTGGTACGTACTTGTTTAGTGGTATTACGAGCAATCCAGGTCTTTTTCAATCTTAGGTTGTTTTGACTAGAAAATATACTGCATTTGCATTGTTGGGTAGGTGTATAGCCTTGATATCGGTGGAGGGACTGGCTGAATACATTTACAGTTTTTAGGAAAGCCTATCTATTTGTAAAGATACATCAAGGAAGGAATATGTTAAAGGTAAATTTTTTTATTGGTATCTATGTTCAATAAAGCTATAAAATTATCGTAACGAGCTATTAACATTGAAATGATGCATATAAATGATTAAACAGGGTTTGATAACAATGCAGCATGTACACATGTTTTGGGGTTTCTTTCGGGTATATTTTCATGGGCAATCTTATCCAAGGTCTGTTTACCACGAAGCCCAGGCAATGGGTCCCTTGGGGAAGAGTCGGACGAGGAGCTTGCGCAGCTCATCCATACAGAGGACACCCATTGCAAGACCGATTGGGATGCACCAGAACAAGATGGGGACTGAGGCTGTAGCGAAGATGTTCTGGATACCAGGGACTTCAGTGACGAAGATAGCGATAATCAGGGAAATGAGAATGGACAGAGGAAGCCAGACGTTGCGACGGGCTGGACGGATGGGATCAGCTTGCAGGAGGGACATGCGCTTGCTGCGGACGGACAAGACGTTGCCCCATTGCATGATGACCAGAGTCACGAAGTAGACGGACTGGCCGACGGCGACGAAGTGGTTCAACTCGTCTGCGGTGTATCCGTGGAAGCCCTCGCCGTAGCTCTCAAAGGCAAAGATGAGGTCGGAGAAGGGGATACCGGCGTGACGCCACATGTAGAAGAAGAACATGGCGTGGGCACTGAAGGTTTCCATTACACCGACGAACAGGTATGACTGGCCGTAGATGCGAAGGTTGATAAGGTGGTCTTTGGTGGGACGGCGGGGGGGAGGCTGAGGAGGTCGAATTCCTCTTTCTCCATGATGAGTGCAAGAGAGACGAACAGATCAGTGAAGACACAGACGATGATCATGAGGAAGGTGCTGAGCGGGGCAGGGCAGCCGAAAAAGACGTTCATGAGCACAGGCCAAATCTCGGACCAACTACCTGCTGGGAGGAGATAGGCGATGACTTTCTGCAGGTTCTGGAAGACCAGGCGACCAAGACGAATGGCCTCGACGATAGAGTCGAACTTGTCCAAGAGTACGAGATCAGCTGCCTCAATTGCAACATCGCTGCCCGATCCGACTGCAATACCGACGTCTGCTGCGCGCAGGGCTGGGGCATCATTGACACCATCACCTGTTACAGCAACGACGCAACCACGACCCTGGAGTTCTGTCACAATACGAAGCTTCTGTTCAGGGGTGGTGCGAGCGAAAACAATCTCTTCGTAGCCGCAAACTGTCTCCCAGTCGTCCACAGCCAGCGATGACAAGCTGGGTCCTTCAAGAAGCAGACTGTGTCGGGACCGGGGGACTTTGGCTTCCATTGTTGTTGGATCCAGGTTATCCTTCAGATCGTCGATGGTGTCCGGCTCAACTTGTCCGTCAAAGATTCCAATCTCACGAGCGATGGCAGCGGCGGTCAATCCGAAGTCACCAGTAACCATGAAGAAGCGGATACCGGCCCTGCGGCAAGCTGCGACTGTTGAGGCCGTCTCCGGGCGTGGGGGATCAATAATACCAAATATACCGAGGACTGTGAGATCCTGCACACCACACTCGAGCATCTCGTTGCTGAAATCGTTGGAGCCAGGGGCAGATTTAGGAATGTAGCGACGTTGGCAGATGACAATCACACGCTCTGCACGGCGTGATAGTTTAGCCTGGTAGTTGGAGAACTTTTCGCGTGCTTCGGTATCGAGAGGACGAATTGCATCATGAGTAGCAGACCAGTAAGTAGCGCAACGATCCAGCAGCACATCTGGGGCTCCCTTGACATAGAGAAGGAACTCCTTGGTAGATTTTGGATCACGGTGCAGGGTGAGCATCCACTTGTTCCTTGAGTTGAACGGAATCTGGTGCACACGTTCATATGGAGCCAGGGCAGTCGGGTTGGTCAATCCAACACTGTCACCAAATCTCAAAACTGCGGCATCGGTAGCATTGCCGTTGACAGCACGTTCATGAACGGGCAAGCTCATAGTAGTCGGATCGAAGACGGCGTCATTGCACAAAACAGATGCGCGTAGCATATTTCGCAAACCGTCAGGAAGATCGACGGTTCCGAACTCGCCAGGAGACAGATCCTCGAGGCTGTATTCCCAGTCGACCATTCCGAGCGACTTGACAAACATGCGGTTTTGAGTGAGAGTACCGGTCTTGTCGGAGCAGAGGACATTCACACAGCCCAAGGTCTCAACAGTTGCCAGTCCCTTGGGCAAAATGTTGTTCTTCTTCATCCGCTTCGCAACCATCATGAGGGTCAATGCGACAGCGACAGGCACACCTTCGGGGATGAAGGCAACAACACTTCCCATGGCATTGTTCAACATGGCGACAACGCTCATGTAGGTAGGATGATCCCGTTTCAACCATCCCAGCCAGGTGAAAACGATGAGCAAAACCAATACAATTGTAAGGACAACAATAATTGTGACGAAACGATTGATCTCGCGCTGGATCAAGGTTTTCTTTTGCTTGACACCGGCTGTCATGGATGCAATACGTCCCATGACGGAGTTGGAGCCAGTAAGAATGACAACGCCAATAGCATTGCCATTAGTGACGCCAGTTCCCATGAGGGCAATGTTGCGAGTCTCCAAGAAGTTGTTCTCGGTGCAATCAATGGCGCCTTCGATCTCATCCGACTCGCCCGTAAGAATAGCACGATCAAAGCGAACATCCCCCGAGGTGGTCAAGAGGCGCATGTCAGCTGGGACCTTGTTTCCAATTGCAATTTGAACAATGTCACCAGCCACCAGATCTGAGGCGGGGAGATGAATGAGTTTCCCATCCCGCATTACCATAGCTTCTGCGGGGAGGAGACCTAGGATGGAGTTCATGACACGTGCAGTGGACCAATCTTGAAAAGCTGAGAAGCCTGCCTGCAAAGCAATGACGATGAGAATGAGGACAGCCATGGCAAGATTTTGAGGCGAGGGGGGTCGCTGAGAGGCTTCCAGCAAATGAAGAAGACGACGACTCCAACCCAAAGAACGGAGCAGAATCCACCAAAAATATACCAAAAGATCTTCTTGAGATAGTTCTCGCGATGGTGGGCGATGACATTTTTGCCGTCCCGCTGCAAACGTGTAGCCGCAGCGGACGAGCTTAGTCCAACACGCTGATCGACATTGAATTCTTGACACAGTTTATCGGCGGAGATGATGTGGTAGTCCAAGCTCTCGAAGTAGTCTTGGTGTAGCTGCTTCTCCTTTGGAGGATCGACCTCCTTGGGGGCGTTCTGGGATTCCGAGATCTGGATGGAGAGGGTTCGAAACTCAATTGGCAGTTCAGCATTTCCCTGCATGCTGCTTCTGTTGCTGCGGATGGTGTCACGGCTCAGCGAGCGGGTCCGAGTGACCTGAGTCGGCTGGTAGATTGACCGGAATCCCTCTGCGGAAGAGCCCTCCTCGAAGGTGATCTTCGTGGAGCGTCCCGTGCGGTCATCATCTTTGAGCTTTTCGCCCTCCGACTCGACGTCGACGTCGTTCTTGTTATCTGGATTCATCGATGAAGATGGGGAGGAGAAAATGGGGAGAAGAGTCAAGAAGAGGGAAGGCAGAGGCTAAATAGATGCACTGCAAGAGCCCTGGAGACTTCAGCAAGAGTGAACCTTGTAATAGAAGCTGAAGTGTCAAAGAAAGATGGAAGAGTAAGTGCGACCATCACCCTTTTATGTAGACAACCAGGGTCCTAGGATCCCATTTGCCTAAACCCAGGCCGGTTAAGCTGGATGAATTGGGAAGGTTCTCCCTGACGCAGAGAATGTAGAACCCACTCGATTCCACGAGGGAAACTGCCGATTGTGGGCAATCGGATGGGCATGAGGGAATAAAGAAAATAATAACATCCATACGGAGTAGATCCATAAGATCCACAGAAAATGATACCTCGACGGGTACATGATTAACTGTGGATGCTTGTATATTAAGTCAGGTACCATAGGGCTTGGGTGCTTTTCGAGCTTATACTTCACACTGACAATTATATTACATATACATGATGTGACGTAATATTACCACCAAGAAAGCCCTCCCGGCCAATCATTAACCAGAAGCCACAGTCTTGTGACAATACAAAACTCAGCCCTAACTTTTTCTTCCCTACAGGTTTCCCTGGATATTGGAGACGATGATTCTTGTTAGTTGTTGTTAGTAAAAGAATAGAACAAATGCCGCAGTTTTCCTAATGAAGGCAAAGTCCAGTGAGCAGAAAGAAAGAACAGTACACAGCCACAAGTTGAGGTGTTATTCCCCGGCCACATGAGGGATTTTTCCTCTCCACCGATTCCCCCAATGCAGACTCAATTCAGACCTCACACTAGCACTCTCGAATTATGCTCCATATTACAGGCTTCCGCATTTTGAAATTTTCATCTTTCGCTAATGGCGGCTTCAAAGGATCGGGGAAATTTTAAATCGCTCTTTAAATGAGCAGTTTGTCCCATCCAATCGCAGAATAATCCCGGAAAATTGACTTGAGTTGAACCTGATGAGCTACGATGTAGGCAATTGGAGTCGAACAGCACGTTCCCGCGTCCTTGCTGTTTAGATCTGTAAGGAAGGAATTAACGCTGGTTTATAAAAAGGGTATTGTCTTAATGCCTTGAAAACAATGATGTTTCCCTGTCAATGTTTCTGTGTTCTCCCACGCTATAACCACTTCAGTGGCCGCATACGCACAGGGAAGAAACCACACTCGTACAATGATAGCCATGCGCTCTCACCAGACTGCCGATCATCACCATACCCTGACACGAGGAAAACTCTCAGCTGAACATCGCCTGTCCAATGGTACCAAAAGCAACGGTCTACCCCTGTTGAAATCAGTCCCAACAGACCAGCAGCCCTTGTTATGTCGAGATTCACCATCAATATATACTCAATCACATCCTACCTTTCCATCGCCCAATCTTTCCTTCATAGACAAATATGGCCGTTACCGCCAGATGGTACACTACGGCTCAAATAGCACAACCCGTCTCCACGAAACCAAAAACAAACAAAGGGATAACCAACTTGTCGCTATCAAAGTGTACAGACGCTCCATCCTCAGAGCTCCCCAAAGCTCTTCCCATTCAACAGCCCTCCACCCAACCCACCCAAACATCCTCCCAATTCTGGACATCCTCCACAACGAACACGACGAGCTCTGCCTGGTAATGCCCTACTGCGCCGGCGGCGACCTAAACACCCTCATATCCCGCAAAGGCGCCCTTCCAACCCAGGAAGCAGACTGTATAATAACCCAGCTGCTACGCGCCCTCGCCTGCCTACACAATCACGGCCTAGCACACCGCGACGTCCGTCTCGAGACAGTCCTGCTCACTGCCAACGGCGCCGTGAAGCTAGCCGGCTTTGGCGACGGCCATATCCGTCGGATATGGGAAGAGACTAGCGGGGGGAGAGGAATGCTTCCCTCACGACCACAGCATGCACAATCTCCTTGGTCGTTCACGCTACCGTGGCCGCTGAATTCATTGTGTCGTCAGAATTCAGAGTCGGGGAATGATAGTAAGCCTGTCATTGCGAACTCGCCTACAGCTTCGTTTGTGGGTATGAGACTTCCTTATGTTCCTCCGGAAGAATTCAAACTTCATTTTCAATCCCATATGCATCGGGATGACAAACTTGATGATCGTGATGGGTGTGATTCTCGTCCTGCGGATGTATGGGCCTCTGCTATGCTCTACATGGCGCTCGTCACTGACAAGATGTTGTGGCGCAGTGCGCGTCCGAATCAGGAGGATTCGCGGTATTTGGATTACCTTGATGCTCGGAGTGCGGCGGATGGATACCCGCCAATCGAGACTCTGGGACAGGTATGTTATAGGATGCTGGGGAGGTTTGGCGCAAGAAACAAGTCACTAATATCTGGTCTTTAGAGACGACGCAACGCTATCTATGCAATGCTTCACCCCTATGCTTGGAAGCGTATCACAACTGCGACGTTGATGCGATCAGAATGGATAAGTGGTGTGGCGGTTTGCGAAGCGGGAGCAAATGGATATTGAAGGCTGGAATTTTAATATCCCATATGTATCTTGAAGCTGCTACCTACACACACATTGTTCTAAACATCCCTAGTCTCTTCTTTTGATATGTTCTTAGCGTTCTTTCATATACCCTAAAATACCAGGTTGATAATACACCACCATTCAACTCCCACTCACAGAGACCCAGCAGCAAGAACATACCCCCCATCAACAACAACAGTCTGCCCATTCAAGTACTGGTTAGAAACCGCAAAAATCACAGCACTACCCATATCCTCATCCTTCCCAGGTCTAGCAGCAGGAACCTTCTGCTGATACCTCTCAGCCGGAATAAAGCTCTTCTGCCCCTCGTCGCTCTCCCCAGCAGTCATTTCACTAGGGAAAACCCCAGGGGCAATGTTATTAACCCTAATCCTCAGGTTCGACGAACTGACCTCATGCGCAAGCATTTTGGTCAAATGAATCGCCGCCGCCTTGGAGGCATTATACGCAAAATGATGCTGTGAGACCTTCACAATACCCGAGATGGAAGTCGTATTAAGCACGGTACTAGACCAACCATGCTCGATCTCCGAGCCGCGCTGCAGAAGCGGCAGGAATGCCGTTGTCATGAAGAAGATTTGTGAGACGTTCGTACGGAATACAGAGTCCCATTCGTCGAATGTAGCGGCCGGATCCTCGAAAAGGGTTTCGTGCAGCTTTGATGCATCTTCCGGCTCGGTTTCTTGCTTTGAGCTGGATATTCCGGAGTTGTTCATTAGGATTGAGAGATGGCCTTCGCGTGTGGTGATCTCCGAGACTAGTCTGCGGATCTCGTCTTTGTTGGTAACGTCTGCTGGGAGGGGGATAATTTTCCCGCTTATGTTGTTTCCGTAGAGGGAGGCGACCTGATCGAGTTTCTCTTCTGTGCGGCCGGTTATGTATACTTTGGCGCCGTTCACGGCTAGCGCTTGGGCTGCCATGAGGCCGATTCCTGAGCCGCCGCCTGTGATAAGGGCCACTGGGGTTGTTAGATAGATTGGAGTGGAGTGGCTCTGTATTGCTTACCTTTGTCCTTCACATTAAATAGGTTTTCAAGCTTGAAGCTTTGATTACTTTTGTTGGCGGCCATTTTGATCTTGTCTGAAATGGGGGATTTTCTGGGAGGATTTGCTCCGAATTGACGAGAAGGTAGGAGAGAGAGTTTGGGTAACCGAATTGATGGAATTGATACCAAGGCTGTTTGGCTCTTGTTAAGAGCCGGTATGTAGAATCGCGACATGGCTGTATATATAGGCGATTAAAAATGGGGTTTGGTCATGACTTTGACAAAACTTGTTCTAGTCATATTTTGCCTGTTTCGGCCATGCATCATTTGTAGGTCATCAATTGCTCCAACCAACTCAACTATCCAAATACCCGCTTGAATTTATCTTCCAAGGTTGAATCTTTAGTCTTTGGGGTAATAGGGCCTCGTATATATCAGAATGACGTCACTTCTATTATATACTTGAACAGATTCAAGCAGACAGAAAACACATAGCAAAAACAGGAATCCACTAGGATCTCTCTTGATATGAATGCAAGCTGATCCAGGCGTCCTACTGATTGCGAATTAGCTATATATAAAAGACATGGCTGTTTATTATAGGAGTGACTTTGATTATATATCTCTGCGATTTTCTGAGATTTCCTGCTGGAAAGTTGTTTAGTAGCCAAGCTCAGCGATTTAATATGGCCTAAGTCAAAAATATCTTGTCATTTGCTATGTTACCTGATGCTACAAAAAACCGGAACCTCAAAATGCGGGCATGTTCACAGCTTGGCCTTTTCAGCCAACCCTTCGCTGACCGGCGCGACCTCAACCATCATCTTACCGGTGTTGGCACCTGCATAGAGGTCGATGAGACCTTGAGGCGCTGCCTCCAAGCCACCAGGCACGATATGCTCTTTGCGCTTGAGCTGACCCTCAGCCAACCAAGTACCGAGCTCCTTGAGTGCCGCTGGGTATTGCTTCGCAAAATCGAAGACAATGAAACCCTTCAAGGTGATCCGTTGCGACTGTCATCAGTTAGCTCCAACCTCCCCCCAAAAAAACACCACAACCCCAAGAGAAACTCACAATCACATTCATAAAACTGCCCGGACCCTGCGGCTTCGCAGCATTATACTGACTGATAGCCCCACAAATGGCAAAGCGGGAACCAGTAGCCGCCCTCGCCAAGCAAGCATCAAGAATATCACCTCCGGTATTATCGAAGAAAACATCAATATACTCCGGCGTAGCAATCTTAAGCTGCTTCCTCCAATCGGCATCCTTATAATTGACCGCCGCATCAAACCCAAGCTCCTCAACCAAGAAATCACACTTCTCTTTACTCCCCGCCAACCCCACAACCCGCTTAGCGCCCTTGATCCGCGCAATCTGCCCAGCCACCATCCCCGTGGCACCCGCCGCCCCAGAAACAACAACTGTGTCTCCCTTCTTCACCTGCGCGATCTCAACCATGCCGAAGTAGGCTGTCAGTCCAGTCATGCCGAGCACGGACATTGCGTCCGTGGGACGTCCGCCAGCCGGAACGGTTATCTTTTGCGCTTCTTTCGCGCTGACAACTGCGTATTCCTGCCAGCCGGAACCGGCGACGACCCAGTCGCCTTTGCGATACTTGGAGGTCAGGTCGTTGCCTACAAGGAGGACTTGAGCAATGCTCTGGCCGCGCATCACGGCGCCTTGTTCGACGGGAGCGATGTAGGAGCGCTTGGCTGTCAGCCATTGTCGCATGGCGGGGTCCAGGGAGAGGTAGTGTACTCGGACGAGGAGTTTGTCTGTTGGCACATCTTTGGGGATGGGGAGGGTGTTTAGGCGGAAGGTGCCGTTGGTGAGAGAGGGGTCGATGGCTGGGGCCGGAGGGGTGGTGTAGATGATTTGTTTGTTAGACATTTTGGAGATTGTGTGGCAGGTTATGGGGGAAGGGGGAAGCGTAAAGAGGGAGGTAGAGAGGTAAAAGTATATATCTGTAGGATCGGAGATGCTCCATATTAGGAAAACTGCTCCTTGGACCTCGGCTTCCCCGAAGTAAAAGGTAAAATGTTGAATAATCAGTTTCTTGACGCATATTTGCCCTTTTATACATCAAAAGGATATATACAAACATACATCAGGAGCAGGGGATCTATACAATCTATGATTCTAGTCACACATCGTGACGTCATTATCTAGGAAGTATGAGCCGAAAAGCTATCACATCTAGTAGAGCTGCCACATTCTCCTCATAACACCAAATGAACAAATAAAGTATATATACATATATACAATCATGTCACAGACCTACCAAAGCTACGAACATGCCGATCCAACCAAAACCTCCCGGGGCGCAGTGGGTGGTGGCTCATCAACCGGCGCCCCAGGCCTCCCAACAGGCGTCCGCGATACCCAATCCCAGTACGACGAAACCAAGGGCTACAATCCCGCCACAGGATCCAGTTACTCGAGATCATCAGCGGGCGGACCAACTCAGACCCGCCAGCGACCACTCTCACCGTCGCCGTCTCGCAGCGATGACCGGATTATCGGGGATGCGCCACTCCCGAACACGGCTAGTACAGCGCAGCGGGCGGAGGCGGAGGATCATGCTGGATCGATGGCTGCATGGGCTGGGGAGGGACTCGGGAATAAAGTGAAGGGTGCTGCGGCGTCGGTTCATGTAAGTTGACGATCTTTGGGGAATGGGGGAATGGGGAATTGGGAGACTGATTCATAATCCACTGTTATAGGGGGCTGGAGAGTCATTGCGTGGAGCGGTGAATACGGCTGTTGATCGGGCTTTTGGATCTACTGAGGGTGCTGAGAGGAATGAGGAGATTGCGAATCAAGGTGTGGAGGAGATTCAATCTGGTCAGTTTAGTTCCAAGAGATATGCCAAGTAGATCCGTAGATAGACAAGTTCTCACATGCAAACATCCGTCAGTGTTTTCATCAGTTTTCTATCAGTTTTCTATCAGTTTTTCATCAGTTTTTCGCATGTATCGTACATTTTTGCAAGGATAGGTCGGAACAAATAAGTGTACCTTAGGCCAAGCATTAGCAGTTAGCTTAAATGTTCTTAAATGTTCTTAATTGTTCTTAAGATTAACTTTTATAAGTCAACATCCGACCGACCCGGCTATGCTGGTCCACTCTGTTTTCTGTTTATGAACTCCAAAACTTCTTCAAAGATGTCAACTTTGTACAATATACAGCTTTTCTGTCTTAGTTTACGTTTTGCGCCCGCATTTGTATAATCTTGGAGTGTCGTACCTCATGTTTTGAACTTCCAGAGCTTTCTCTTAGCTATGGCCTCAATCCCCGACCGACGATATTCCTCACGTCTGGCCGAACCTGCTACGGCCTCAACACATCAGAACACATTGGACTCGGAGACATCCTCGAATCTAGTCTCGGACTCCCCCTCCCACTATTCATCCTTCTCCAGCTCCGATAGCGACGAACCACTTCCACATGCAGTCGAGGTTACTGATGAAGATGACGCCGGTGACATGGTGGGGGTGAGCATCGGGCGCGAGCAGAGCCGCATGAAGGCCCGAGCAACCCCCCTGGAAGAGAAGAATCGGGTGTTGGAACACCAGGGGACATATTTTACGATACCGGATACTGTAGGCGAGGATGGTCTCTTTGCATCGGAGATCACGACCGAGCCAGAGTCGGTGCCAGAAGTTGAAACAGCCCCAACACCAGCGCCAGCGCCAGCGCCAGCACCGCGTGAACGAAGCTTCGGACATAAGCCTCGGGCGTCATACCCCTCCCACTATAATCAACCTGAACCGGGCCACCTTGCCCATGGCCCTCGCAGCGATCTTTTTGCCTCGGGTACTGAAAAGACCGGGTTGAAAGATACAGCCGTAAGCCAGCGGTCTGGCTTTGTCGGGGCCTTATTGAAGAACACATTGCCTCGCCGACAACGCAGCTGGTCCGGCGAGCTCAAGAAATTCCTACCTGACCTGACCTCTTTGAAAAAACGGCCCTCTCTCGCGTTCCGGGCCCCCAATGGCCAGAACCGAATCCGCAGCCAGACGGTAGCACCCGCAGTCAAGAAGAACTCGGGAGTACGAAAGAGAACTTCGTCGCTGGGCGGGCGCCCGCTGCCGTTGCGTCTTGCCCCAAGCGGCTCTAGCATCGACGATGACGGAGAAGCTGCTGAGCCGATACCTGAGCTGCGCTCACCGGATGGAACCTCGGCCGCGAAACATTCCTTCGCGCGTAGGCCTAGTTCAGTGATGCCCGGTCGACCCCCAAGTCTGCGGAGGTCCTCGTCGGATCAATCGCTGTATCTACGGGCGTCGTCTACAGCATCCTCCCTAGAGCAGCGACCATTATACGAGAATGTACACACTCAGGTAAACAGCCGGTTCAAGGCAATCAAGGATAGTCTCCAAGACTCGAGTAGCAGGCTGCTCAGTATGCCCAATCTCCATCTGCAGGATATCCGCACTGATTGGGGCTCTCGTCCATTCCTGCCAGACCTTGGAAACGGTCCATCAAATAACAACGGTGTCAGCACTGCCAAAAAGGAACAACCACCGCGGGCTGTAACCCCGCCGCCGCCAACTCCGCGGACCAATCCTAACCCAACACATCCAATCTTGGAAGAAGCAATGGCAGAGCTCACGGGCGATGTCGTGATTCTAGGAGGCTACCGAGGATCAATCCTGCGGTCAGCTAAGCCACCCCACCGTCAACTTTGGGTGCCGATGAAGGTCGGCCTGAATCTGCGGAAAGTGGACTTGGAGGTGGGTCTGAACCCAGAGGACGAAGAACGCATGGAAGAAACCATCATTCCATCTGGGGTTCTCTCCCACGTTGGCCCAGTGGACGTCTGTCGGCGATTGATGAAGCGCTTGCGCAAGAGCGAAAATGCCCAGCGTGGCGAAATGCGTGTCCATGACTACGGATACGACTGGCGTCTAAGTCCCGAGCTGCTCTCACGCAGGCTCATCTCCTTCCTAGAAAGTCTGCCATGCAACCAGGAGCCCGCACCGGGTGATCCCCGACGCGGCGCTACAGTCATCGCACACAGTCTGGGCGGTCTCATAACCCGACACGCCGTTAACGAACGACCAGATCTCTTCGCCGGAGTCGTGTACGCAGGCGTACCACAGCACTGCGTGAACATCCTCGGACCACTTCGCAGCGGCGACGACGTCCTCCTCAGCTCGCGCGTTCTAACAGCACAAGTAAACTTCACCTTCCGCACGAGCTTCGCACTCCTCCCAGAAGACGGCCACTGCTTTATCGACAAGCAAAGCAAAAAAGAATTCCGCATCGACTTTTTCGACGCCAAAACCTGGGAGGAGCATCGTCTCTCCCCTTGCATGGGCCCCGCTCTTCCCGCCCCGCCAACAACTACAAACAGCAATATCCTCAACTTCAAAGACATCCCCCTCCTCGGCAAGCGCTTCTCAATGGGTCCGCGCGATGACTCCGACGAATTCCTCACCCAAGACCTACACAACGTCCCCGTCTCTGCAGTAGACAAAGACATCCAAGCCCGTAACGCAAACTCACCACACAACCCATCTTCCTACGCCGCATACGCAGCCGAGAAAGCCCAAAACCCAGCGGACGGTTTAGTCGGACCAGGCGCACACCCACGCGGCAGCGCTGCAACCTCCAAAATAGCCACGGCGAGCACCATCCCGCTCCCTGTAGCGAGGGAGTACCTACAGCGCACCCTGGCAGACACTAAGAGGTTCAAGGAGAACCTGTGGTTCCGACCTGAGCTCCATTCCGAGAACAGATACCCGCCTGCGGCGGTGCTGTACGGGAAGACGTTGCCTACTGTATACGGGGCGCGGGTTGTATCGCGTGAGAGTATTAAGCAGGTTGATGCGTATGATGATCTTGCTTTCGCGGCTGGCGATGGAGTTTGTCTTGCTTCGGCTGCTATGCTGCCGCCTGGGTATAGGATTATTAAGGGTGGGTTGGTGAAGAGTGATCGGGGACATGTTTCGTTGCTTGGGGATCTTGAGGGGGTTGGGCAGTGTCTTAGGGCTGTTCAGAGGGGGAGGAAGGAGGGGGTTGGATTGGGGGAGAAGGAATTATTAAGGATTTGAGGATTTTGTTTCTATTGGTTTTGATCTTTTGTGATACCATTGGCTACGCGTTTTGATGATTTTGGGTAGGGTTTTTGGATATGGCACATTTCGATGTGACTGTATCGTACATACTGCATTGAGAATGGTATATTCTCATTTCTATAGGGGAGGATTGAAGCTATATAGAAATAGAAAGGTAGAGAAAAGGTTCGAGCAGAGCTCAATATACGAACATGAGCAGATCTCCTTGCACACACGCTATGTATTCCTATCCCATTCTATGTATGTGCTTTTTGTCTCCAATACCCATAGAGAGACGATCTCTATCAAGACCAAACAGAAGAAAAGGAAACAGTATCCCGAAAAAATCCATCACGGTATATAAAGTAAAAAGAAAAGAAGAAGGATGCTATAAAAACCGAAAAAGAAAACAAAGTATCATCAAGTCTTTAATCCGTGCGCGAGTTGGCAATGTTCAAGACCAAGATATCACTCGCGCCAACCTTAATCAGCTCGTCCATTACCGTGGCAATGCGCTTCTTCTCCACCATAGAGCTGACAGCAACCCAGCCCTCCTCTTCGAGCGCGGTGATAGTAGGTGCGCGCTTGCCGGGGGTGATCTTAGACGCGACAGACAGCTGCTCACGCGGGATGTTGTATTGGCACAGGACGAACTTCTGGGCGGTGATGACACCGCGCAGACGGGAGGTGAGGAGAGCGAGCATGTCGCTGTTGGATGTGCGGGACTTGACCAGCACGGCTGTGCTGGAAACAACGGTGTCGATGGCCTTGAGGCCAGCGGCCTTCATAGTCTCACCAGATTCTGAGTAGAAGATTGAGTGTTAGCAACGGGTTCGGTTCCGGGCCCACGCAGTATTTCAGTGTTTCAGCGGACTAGGGACGATATAACATACCAACAAGATCAACGATACCATCCGCGACACCGAGGGCGCAAGCAGCCTCAACACTACCGCCGACATACTTGATCTTGGTAGCGAGCTTCTGGCCAGCCTCGGCCCCTTCCAGGTTACGGAAGAACGCCTCGGTGAGGGCAGTGAAGCTGGTCACGACGTTGCGGCCGACGAGATCCTTGGCCTCTTTGAGTTCACCCTTCTCTGGGACCTGAACTTGCAGCTTGCAGGCGCCGAAGCCTAGGTCGAGGATCTCCTCGACGTTGGAGGTTTCGCCGGCGGGCAGGGTGGCATCGTGCTCGGCGACTTGGTCGCGGCCAGTGATACCCAGATCGACGCGGCCTTCGCCGACGAAGGTTGGGATATCGGCGGCGGGCAGGAAAATCAGCGCGATGGGCAGGTTCTTGACCAGCGCGATGTCGAGGCGGGTTTCGCGGCGGAACTGGACATCACAGCCGGAGAGGAGGTCGAGGGTTGCTTGTTGCAGACGTCCTTCTGTATAGTGGGTTTGCGTCGTCAGTCTTGGGGTTCTTTATCTTTGTTTCTTGTTCATGTGGGTATCGCTGATCGCAAACTATGAGTCATGATTTGGGGGAGAATTACTCTTGGGCACGGCGAAGAGAAGGCGGCCTTCCAGGCTGTTTAGAATTGGTGTGTTAGTAGAGATTCCAATGCGGGTTTGTGATAGTGATTGACTCACTGGTTGACGAGATCCATGGCGATAGAGCGGTGCGGCGCGGGGCTTTCACGGGTTTTTGAGGTGGGGGAATAGGCTGATCGGGGATCAATTGGCAAAGAGGTAAAGTCAATTGCAAGTTAGAGACTGTGGATATATATCTCGAAGACAAGATAGAACGGGTAATATAGTCTGGAGGAGTCAGAGGGAGGGAGACCGGAGCTTCTTGCGGCAGAAATTGGAGGGGCAGATTACTCCGATGGACTAGTGACGGGATCGGGGGACCAGGGGAGTATGTACCGTGTTCGCTGGACAATATGGGCCCACGTGATAGGATTCTGTGGTGTATGGCTATTTGAATTATCTACAATACTTGGTAGAGTCTTCATGTGCTTTTTAGATTGATTTCATAGGATAATTGGCCGTGGAAGGCGTAGTTGTCTAAAAGTGATGCCAAACGATATCGGAGTTACACGAAATATCTTCTGCCTGACCCACCAGGTGTCGATTTTATCCGCTGACTCATCTTCTGCCTGACGGCTCAGGTGTCAAGCTGGCCCTGAGCCCTCGCGTAATTTGCACGAACCCACACAGGCCAAATTCCACTTCAACACTCTCTTACCTTCAGTCCAACCAACTCCAACCCTCGAGCTCAACGCCCTCTCCTATCCTCCAAGATGGATTCCAGCAAGCAGCCCGTTAAGCTCGTCAAGGTGACCCGTGTCCTCGGCCGCACCGGTATGTGCTTTCCCAAATTTTTGAAGCTCCAAAACCCACAATTCGATATTCGATATTCGCGGGGTGCACCCATTGCGCCCCAGATCGCCCGAAACCACCGATGAAAAAAAAGGATACTTGGAGGAATAGCAATGGCTAATTTGTGGTCTATTCATTTAGGATCCCGTGGTGGTGTCACCCAGGTCCGCGTCGAGTTCATGGACGACACCTCGCGCTCCATCATCCGCAACGTCAAGGGCCCAGGTATGCGATATTGATTTCCCTGAATCCAGTCGTCTTTTGGGATCACAAGAGGAGGAAAAACAGGGGTGTATTCGTTCATTTTCTCATGAAGGAAGAGACCCCATGTTGAAATATTGAATTTTCGAGGATCGACCCGAAAGACGACAAAACTTTGCCGAACTACATCGCTAACATGTACCGCACTAGTCCGCGTTGACGACATCCTCTGCCTGCTCGAGTCCGAGCGCGAGGCCCGCCGTCTCCGTTAAAATCCACCAAAACGAAATTTCGCTCGCGTCGTCTATTTTGTCTCTCTTCTTCTCTCGCATATCCCTTACGACCGGTTTTTCATGATTACTCTTCGGCCAAAATCGAGTCCCCCATTTTTCTTTCTTGCCGTACCTTCAACCTCCTATCTTCCTCAGACCTGATCCACCGCGCTGCCCAATCATTCCCGCCTGCCGACTCTCAAGGGGCCGTTTCTACGATTTCCGACGTTTCGACTGGAGGTGATGGTTTGGGTGGATTGACTTTTTGGTTTTTATAACGCCGAAAGTCCCGGAAGGTCGATTATGGAGAAACGATCGTGAGAGAGGGGAGCAGAGAGCCGCAAAAAAGATAATAGAAAGCCTTTTTTTTTATTGATACGAGAAAACGAAATCAAGTTCTTGCGCAGGGCTGGTTTGTGTGGACTTGTGGCACGGTCTGGTCTGGTTTCGATCTTGGTGTTTTACTACATACACACGTCCATTTAGGCGTGCTTGCATGGGCTCAATGCGACAAACGAGGTTGTGATGTTGTTTCCTCTCTTTCCTCGTACCAGCTTTTTCCCGTTACTGGTTAGAAAAGACAACGCCGATTCGAACCAGGCCCCTATCGACAAAAGGAACAATGGAATCCAAAAAAAAAAAGTTTGAAAACTTCCAGTTCAGCCTTGTCGAGGTCGAGGTTTTGAAAGCGTTCGTAGAGCATCTGGCCAGTGCAGTTCATGTGAGTTTCTAGATATCGGGGCTTGACTGTTGTCGAACGACATGTCTACATGTAGACGGTAACTGCACCATGTCCTTAGACCTAAAGTACTAGACATAAAGTACGTAAGTCTATACATTTTATGCTTTTCACCGCCATCTTTATAGTATAAAGCCGAGGTGGCAAAGGACATCGACCAATAGAGATCCAAAAAGACAAAAAGGCATCGCAGTGTTTATCTTAAATCCAATGTTAAGACCATACGCGGCTGACTTGTCTTGGTTCAAGATTGATATTCAGGATGAATCCCCAAGACCATGCTAGCTAAACTATGTATGTAACTATACAACCGAAAATGCCCAATGCCCCGCATATAATGTAAAATTACAGCTGCTCCGCACTAGCCATGAGCCTATTAAGAAGATCATCACCAGCAGACTCTCCATCAAGACCACTCTCATCATCAATGACCCGGCCAATCGCCCCCAAAAGCCCAGCCAACCGCTTCCGCCGGATAGATTCCTCCAACTCAGCACTCTTCTGGCGAGCGACGTCAATAACTGCCGAAGGCAAGTTAGCCAGCCGTGCAACATTCAATCCGTAACTGCGATGCGCAACTCCCTCAGTAACCTCATAGAGGAACGTAATCTCCTGATCCCCTCCCTTATCCTTGCTCTCCGTCTCTGTAAATCGCATATGCACGTTACGGAGAGCATTATCAGGGAAGGAATGCACCATCCGCGAGAGATGCTGGTAATGCGTGATGAAAAGGGTGAGGGATTGGATCGACCGAACCATATAGTCAAGCACCGCCTGCGCAATGGCGACACCATCATGCGTCGATGTACCGCGACCCAGCTCGTCGAGAATAACCAAAGATCGAGGCGTTGCTTGCTTGAGGATATCTGCTGTTTCGGAGAGCTCGACCATGAAGGTTGATTCGCCAGCGAGCATATTATCGAAGGCGCCCATGCGCGTGAAGACCGCGTCCAGGAGACCGAGTCGGGCGGAAGCTGCTGGGACGTAGGAACCGATCTGCGCCATGATTGCGATCAGTGCGACCTGTCGCACGTAGCTGGATTTACCGCCCATGTTTGGACCGGTGACGAGGAGGGCGCGCGTGCCGTCGTGTTGGATGTTTGTGTCGTTCGGTACGTATGTGTCTGTGAGGAGTTGCTCGACCATTGGGTGTCGCCCTTGCTCGATGTGGAGGCCTGCTTCTTCTGTGTATTCTGGCTTGGCGTAGCCCGGTTGCTGGGCTATGTCTGCGAGAGATAATAGACAGTCGAGTGTTGCGAGGGATTGGATGCAATCTCGGAAGGACTGGTACTGCGCTGCGATATCAGCTAGGAGGGTTTTGTATGCTTGGTCGCAGGCTGCTGCTAGGGCTTCTTTGTGCTGGTCACGTTCGCGGATGAGCTGGATGACTTCTGGTGTGTGGAACCGGGACACCCTTTTTGTGCCGCTGACTTTGACCCATGATGCTGGTACGCTCTTGAGTGCTGGGGAGTTGTTGTCGATCTCGATTAAGTACTCAATGCCGGAGACGGTCGAGTATTCGACTTTGCCTCTTCCAATTGTTGACGCGGCCTCTTTGCGGTGTTCTAATAACCCATGCTCAGTGCTTCCAATTTGGAGTTTAAGGTCACCGATTTCCTCTGTCTCTTCTGCTTCGCGAAAGAAGGTGTATTTGTCATTGGTTCGTGCAGCGTGCATGTTGATCTTGTCCAAAAACTTGACGACTGGCGCTCGGATCGTGGGCAGAGAGGCGATAGCCTCGCTCACCAGCGATGATTGAAAGCCCGTCTGGGCAGGCGATTTGATATCTGAAAATTCCATTGCAATCATCTGCATAGCTTGTAAAACAGTGAGGAGTTCCGGTCGCTCGCACTTGGCTCAACATTAGTACAGGTGTGGTCATCATCACAGACGTATTACATACCTTTCCGTAGTAGATGCGGATCAAACTCTTCTCAAGATCACTCTTGACTTTGCGTAGTAGCCCTCGCACTCTCTCCACCGGAACCGCTCGCGCAGGATCAATAATCTCCTCCACGGCATTCGTCCGCTCCTCAAGGCGCACTTTGTCCAGCAAAGGCCTTCCAACCCATTGCCGTAACATGCGTTGTCCGAATCGCGTTTGCGTCCGGTCCAAGGTCCAAAACAAACTACCCTTTGTCGAAAGATCCGTCTGGTTTTGGTATATTTCTAGACTGACCAGGGTGTTTCCGTTCAGAAGCATATGCGAACGAGCCGAGAAGGGCTGGAAATATTTTGTGAGGTCAAACACATGTTCCAGCCCATATTCGGTCATATGTTCAATCATAGCTGATAGACAGATGGTCACCTGTTCCGGGAGGCCAAGGACGTTGTGGAGTAACTTTGCAGTTTGGGTATCCTCCTCAGTACTTGTAGCCTTCATCTTTCCTGCATAAAATCCCGATACATGGCTGTGTGCCTCGGCGGCAGAGGTTTTCTTCTTCTGGGCCCGTTCGAGACGGACGGCGTCCCCAAAAACATTCATCTTGCTTCCTGATAAATGCTGTACAAGCTTTTCGCTAGCTCGAGACATCTCTCCAACAATCAAGATCTCGCAGGGAGCGATATGCAATAGTCGTGTCTCGATCTCGCTCCGCATGAAGCCATCCTCGAAGTCATCATAGATAACATCACCTGTAGCCGGCTGGACAGCGACAATCCCAACGTGAACTCGCTCGTCGTTCCCGGGGCCCTTGGCATTGGTCTCCGTCATACAGAGCATGTACCCAGTGGCAGGAGAGGCGCCTCCCGCTGCCGGCGCAGGACCCTGGAGGCCTTCAGCGTCATCGATATAGGTTCCTTTCGTGTAGAGGTTTGTTAATTTGCGAACAAATGGCGCATTTCGATTATCACCCGCAGCCTTGAGCGCAGCCGTTTCGATCTGTCGCACCACGCCAACCTTGTGGCCGGCTGTAACGAGTCGTTTCACATGTACGTGTAATCTGTGCACGGGGATACTAGCCGAAGCAAACCGGCCAATGTGTGCTTCGGATGGGTCTGTGTAGGCCCTAAGATTAGTATGTTTTCGGTATTTTGACGTAGAAAATACTTACGTTCGTCGAATCTGAACTTCCCGGGGATACACACGATACCCAGCTCCTTGGCCGCAATGCGCGCATCCTCCCCGAAGAACCGGAACTTGTATCCCACTTCAATGACCAATATCGTGTTCATATTCTGACGCTTGATCTCAATGACCTGCTTCTCCATAGGTGTGAGCTTGCTCGCGGTCTTCTTCGCACCCTTGCCTTTGGTTGGGGGCGGTGGTGCAGGCTCGTCGTCTTCCTCAGCCTCCGCGGCTTCTGCCTCCGCGCTGGCTGCATCGCTCACAGCGGTTCTCCCAAGCCCAACCTGGCAATCTGATCCACCGAGTTTCCGGACGAATAGCTGGTGCAGTTTCTCCTTCTCTTTCTTCCGTTGTTCCTGCTCTGGGTCCTCTTCCTCTGTGGGGACTGGTGCAACAGCAGGGGAGCTCTGGAACTTGAAGATATCGGTGCGTTGGCTGCTGCTTGCTCGGGAGGTGTGTTCCAAGTCCACGCTTGTCGCAACTCGGATTGGCTCCTCCGCTTTTGTGCTAGTGATTTTGGCTCGCTTTGATGCTGGTGCCACGATATCCTCGTCATCCTCGTCATCATCTGCTGGGGTGGTATCGTCTTGCTTCGGCTCGATCTGGTTGGCTGGCGACAGTTGTCTTTTCTTGGGTGTCTTGGCAGGGGTCGGTTCGGAGTCTTTAGGCGTGGCCGAGGAAGTGGGTTTCTGGGTGAAAAAGCTGGAGATGCTTGCTTGCTTTCGTTTCATCGATGAAGATGGTGCAGAGGATTGCGAAGAATGGGGTGCCATCTTGACGAGCAAGTATGCGGGGTGGCAGTGCGATTGGACGGGGTTTCTGGGTTGTAATGATAGGAGACGGGCTTCAATGGAACTCAATAGAGAGTTATTTCATCTCAGCTTGGTCTCGGACGAGGAATGCTTCAAATCGAGCCCCATGTAAGTTCTCCACATTTTACTTGGAGCTCGACGCGTACAGAACGCGCTGGGGCGTTAATTGGCTGCTGACTCATCACTTTCGTCCAGGAGCCCTGGAGGCGACCTAAAGTCCCAAGGTCATTATTTGATCTAGGTCATCACACATCAGACACAAATGTGCTAGTAATATTATAGCCTATCATAACTTAAAACATCGACTTGAGCCTCGGGTCTCACTGTGAAGATATCCAACCGTGGACAGGGTCCGTGCCCCGTCATCTGTACCGAGTAGCCCTAGTTCAATGGCTGTTTTGCATTCTAACAGAATCACTTGAGTCAAGTGTGTGTCAAAACAAAGAGAGTCTATGTCTGTGCCTAGGCCTATCTACAAGGAATTGGGGCAATATGCTTGGAGCTTGCATGAGTGAATGCATATTGTTACTGTCGAGGGTAGACATCTACGACCTCAAGAGAGAAAGAGAGACAGAGAGAATAATAGATTTGTTATGATTGAGAGAACCGTCTGCTATGAGCCCATCTGTCGAGCTTCATGGAGACAAAGAAACAAATATCACAAACCACCTGAGCAACAAACCATCAATCTGCGTCGAGTGCAACAGTCAAGTACATGTGTGTTCAGACAGGCAAGAGACACAAAGCACAGAGAAAAGAATCATGAAAGAAGGAACCCTCAGAGAATTCTTCAGGAAACAGAGTGCTATCTCTGTAATAAAGGTTCCAAAAATTGGGTCGAAGGAGATGAGAGCAGAGCCCCTTCTAAGGTTCAGCTCCTGACGGTCAATGGAGAAATCAAGAAAGTACAGTCTGTATACACAGCGGTCGCAGGGGCACTTCCCGCAGGTTTGTACCCCCCGACATGCTTCGTGCCTTAGATGGGGAGACCCCAATCTAGTTTCAGCCTAACCTGGGCCGCAGCAAAGATCCAATCAGTGCCCTCAATAGATCCATCATTGGACGTGAGACTGAACTGTTGGGGAGAGAAGAAAGAAGGAAGATAAAGTGGGAGGGGGCAGGTATTTATATTTTCCTGGCTGAAGGCGATGGGGGAACTGGGGTAGGTGACGATTTTCCCAAAAGGGAAGGTGCCTGTCCAAGTGACCAGACACCTGACTAGGCAGCTTTGTGTGTATATGAAGGATCCTTCAATCACTACAGACTTTATGATATTGAATTGATTACATTGTTCTTTCTATTCATCTTTTAGAATATCTGCATACTGATATTCACTCTAGCATCTGCATGGCCACAGAGAATTCCATTAATCATGTTTCCCATCCTCACCATTCCTCATCTCTCCAGGTCTCTCGGCCCTCTACCTACCCATGGCCCTTCAAGCTGGCACATCACTATCAAGGTTACTGAAATCTGTATGAGTGAATGGATATCGTTACTATTGAGCGTAGGCATCTACAACTTTATATCATGATTATTATTTGTTGATAACATGCTCCTACCCTTGTTTTCCGGAGTCAGGTAGGTCGAGTGGTAATGGTTCCCGACTTCGTCATTCCAATTCAAGATATGATCGATGCCTGGGCTGCATTTATTGTCTTCCCGCACAGGATCGCGCCGGTCTGGATTCTAAAAAGGTTCAACAACCCATGCATGATTATGTAGTCGCCTAATATCTTCAATGCTCAATGTCCCGTCACCAAGCCAAAGACCATCGTCGTTATGTCTATGCCAACTGCAAATATGAGACATCGCACTACTGGATTGTTCGGCGGAATCCTCGCTGTCTTGGGATGTCGACCTTCTGTGTCAATAAAAAGTAGCAAGTACCTGAGGAATTCTGACTTGCTTTGAAAGATCTGGTTTATCTCCAAGTGTATCTAAACATTACTTAATCTGAGAAACACCAGATTCAATCTCGTATTGTTTGCTCGCCCGAATCCTTTTGCCTCGCCATAACAGCCAGAAATTCACCCCTTATATAGCCATGTGCTTGTGCTCGTCATGAGCCAAAATCTCAAGACTAAGGTTCTTCTTCTTCTTCTTCTTCTTCTTCTTCTTCTTCTTCTTCTTCTTCTTCTTCTTCGTCGTCGTCGTGAATCCAAAAAGGGGCGCGGTAGCCCACGGGACCGACACTTCTGATCGGCAATAGAACGATATCTGGAACTCTTCCGCTCGGGCAATAGCCTATCTCGATTATGTCCATCACGGCGTACTTCACGTATAGAAATGTTTGGATTGTATTTGTCCAAATGGCAGTAACAAGGCAGGTTGGAGGTAATCGCTTGAGACACATGTTCAATAGCGGTAAGGCCTGATCATAAATCACGAGAGAATACCACAAGAGGCTCAAGTGTGGCTTTTGCATGAAATTGCATCTCGCGGCTTCTGATACCTTGTTTAGCGGGTAGACAGAGGTCATGTCTGGTACCTAGAGATGCTGCTCTGACTCTGTGGTGCCAGAGGTTCCATATTCTTTTATCGATGAGGGAGTTGATAGAGAAACCAGAGATCATTGGAGGAAGTGCAGATTGTGTGTATGACCACGTGGCCTTGTTTGTTAACAAGAAACGGGGTTTCCAATGTCGGTATGGTTCAATTTTTCAAATGTTGTGTAGGTGAATGTGTATTGGGACTGTGGAGGTATACATATAAGCGCTAGAGAGAAAAACTAATCATGAACCCATTTGTCTAACTTCATAAAGATAAAGAACAAAGACTACCAACTTCCTGAGGCACCTAGCCAGACATCTAGGTGAGGCGGATCCAGGCAATGATTTTACTTTGTATTGTATATGCATATGAAGGATATTTCAATCCGTTGTTGAAAGTTTAAACAATTTATATTTTCACAAATGGCTGTCTTCAGATATTTGAGAGGTTCTATTTTATATTGCTGTTAGCTTCAAAGTTGATTATCCAAGGTCTCGTGGCTGTAAATGGGCTGAGAGGCGAGATTGGGAGATTAGGAGGTATCATATAGTTATTTGAAAAGTTCACTTGGTTAGGCTCTTCGATGACGTCTCTAGAACCTAGATCTTCAAAAGACTCGGTCATATTGAGATCGAGTACATGCTGCATGAAAGATGAGTCACAGATGAAAAGCAGGAGTTGGCGAGCGTACGCTGTGGATGTGAGGGTATATGGTTGGTGCTTATACGACGTCGTGAGATTTTCGGTGGTTCTTTGGTCTAGAATCAAACCAGCAAGTCTGGAAAGGACTGCTTGTACGGGGCTCGAAAGAAAAAAAAAAAGACGAATAGACAGTCTTGAAGCTGTATGAGATACGACGTCTTACAAAAAGAATATTATCTTCATATGATGGCACTGGAAAAAATTGTAATGCACATTCTTCATATTGATACTGGCTAATCATGACATTGTACAGCATATTCAACAGCCCAACGATGACGAGAAATACAAATGGACACCCCATGGAGAATCGCAATTGGTAGAAGATAGCAATCAGCATGGGTGTGAACAAGTTACGGTCGTCGGGCAAGGGGAATGGTAGGGGCAAGGGGAATGGTAGGGGCAGGGGGAAGGGTAGGGGCAGGGGGAAGGGTAGGGGCAGGGGGAAGGGTAGGGGCAGGGGGAAGGGTAGGGGCAAGGGGAAGTGCAAGGGCAAATCATGGTAAAACTACCACATCACTGTTTGGGTTTTCTGTTCTTCTGGATATCCATAACATCTTCGAGCATTTGGAAAACATCGCATAGCATCGGTCGTGTCAGCAGGGTTGGCCAACCTGGACAGCTGGTGAGTCCGGGGTTAGGTCAACAGAGTCGTGAGATTTAGTTCGCATCGGTAGTCAAATAGCATGGTTGAAGCATCTGGTCCTCTTCCGACAGGGTTTCCTCGGAGGGAGCTGTCTGCTCCATAGAAAGCCAGCTATTCTGGGTTGCCTCATGCTCCTCTTCGTACTGGGTGTCGTAGAAAGGGTATTTGGAAGGGGCTTGGAGAGGGTTGAATCGATATCCAGCCTTGTCAAAGTTGTCGTATGAATCGCCAATATCAGCAAAGTAGGAAGGGCCGAGTCCAAATGCATCAAGGTCAGCACGTTTGGCGAATGGAGAGTGCCAATCATGGGAGCCAATTCGGCCTTGGGGGTTCAGAATAGGCTCAATGTTTTCCTTGTCAACGAATGTGTGCCCAATTTTCGAGGCATGGATACCAGTGTTCGTCTTTCCATTCAAAACAAGGCGAGTGGGGGTCAATGTATCAAACTGCGTTCTGAATCCCGGTTCCTGGTAAGATGGTTTGCTCTCCTCTTCCTGTTCATCAACGAAAACGTTGAATCGACCCCTGGGTCGTTTGCCAAAGGTATTGACAGTCATACCAAACTCTTCATCGTCACCGACATAAGAGTGAGTACGGTCTGCCACGCGGCGCGAGGGGCGGGAAGAATCTTGCTCTTCTTTGACTGGTTCTTCTTTAATGATCTTGCGGTCTTGGTCGATTTTCTGTCGGTTTCTGTCCACAGCACGGGGCACGTTGGGGTCCGCTTTGGTCAAACGGGTAGACCTGGTACGAGCGAGGCTTCGCCTGGGGATTGGGGTCTCTCCTTTCAATGGGCTGTGCTCCTCTACATTGCCCGTGATCTCACGCTCCTTCAACAGAGTTCCGTTTGGGGAGAAGACCATCTCGTTTGGCTTCACGAGCGAAGAAGTATGTTCCATCATCTTCAACACGGCACTATCCTTCTTCTGGTTGCGCCGACGACGCATCTGCGCCGTGGCAGAATCAAAAATATTCATGCCTGGCCACAGGACTCCCTTGAGTCTTGTCATTTCTTCAGCCTGAGTATTGTCCATCTCAGCGTCACCAGATACCTGGATCTGATCACCAGGGTCGATAAAAGGATCAGGCGTATCTCTGCCGGAAATCCAGGTTCTCTCCAAGGGTTCCGGTCTGCGTCCGCGCTGTATCGGTGCCACAGGCAGAGCCAATGATCGGTTTTCACCGCAGAGTCCAGAAGCATGCACCGGCTGCAACACGTTTGACATTGTGCCATTCGAGGATCGCATCAAGCGAAGGGTTGGACCCGTTCGAGATGCTGCATTGTTGGCAATGGGCAAGCGGCTTGGTGTAATTGGTGTGAGGATTGTATCCGCATGTTGCTGTTGATCATCGTGATTAGCCAGGCGAGGATCAAGGTAGCCAGGGCCCGAGGTAATTGTAAGTGCAGGAGTGCTGGAGCTCTCAAAGTCGACATTGGGTGCTTGGCTCCTTGTGTCTTTAGCGGCATCAGAGGTCGATGCTTCGTCCGACTTTTTTTTCTTCCGAAGTTCTTTGTTGGCCATGCGAGCAGCGAGCTGTTTAGCGTAGCCATTGGCATCAAACCAGTCGTCATACTCCTTGAGAAGTCCGATGGCGTTAAGATCATCGGCGCGAAGCTTGAGCTTGAAGTGGCTGGCCAGATGAGCCTTGGAGGCAGCATGGGTCAACAGGTGGGAAACATCGCTGAACTGGGGCTGCCCAGGACAGATGCTGCACATGAGGATGGTTCCCTCCATGATGGAAGCCCTGAAGGAAGCAGCCACTAAACAATAGAATGAGATGCAAATGGAAAGGGCAAAACAACCAAACTGTCGAAGCCAAGAAGGTGTGGAAGGGGGTGGTGAAAGAGCGATGGGAGAAGAGAGGCCGTCCAAGGTTTTAAAAACGTTTGATAGACGGACGGGGGAGACTGAACTCCTTATCAATCGCCTATTCAGGTTGAAGGAAAGAGCGTCTGAACTGGTCACGGGTAGACCCAAAGATTAGACCACAGGTCACGGGATGTCATTCAAGGCAAACTTTCATTCAGTGTTCTTCATATTATGTACACAATATGTGCCACGATGTCTTAACGGCTCTTTGGCCATTGTAGAGGGATATGAAGCGGAATAAGTCAAAGTGGTCATTATTCTCCTCTCGCATTGTATCCCATGGTCCATAGAGTGACGGACGTTCATGGGTTATTAGGTTGCAGGAGGTTTCAATAGATCGATCCCATCAATCAACTGATGCATTACCCCGCAAGGCATTTGGCAGTGATTGACTTGGGCATACAACTGTTCTTGAAGTTAGCAAATCATACAATAGAATAACCAATGGATGCTTCATAGCTCACTAAATAGCATCGATTTCTTCAAGGCCATTGAACTTCAATAAACTCAGACCTGCAAGGCTGAAGTGTGTATGATATACATCCACCATATTTCCTGGTCGATCAGCAAAGCCACCAGCATCAGGGTCCTATGTAAGTGTTAGCAACAAATTCCACCATACAATAGGCAATTGAACTGACCTGGCATTGTAAGATAAATGCGGCGAGCTTCTCGCCATCAATCCAGTGTAGACGGTCAATCATGGCAAGGCTTGATCCAACCCACCAGCTGTAGCAGGCATCTGCAAGCTTCTCTGGTCGACCATTGAAACCGCCGCTTTCGATCTGCCGCTCGCTGAGCCAAGCTCCGAGGCGATCCTTATTCACCAAGTCCAAGCGACCAGCGATGGCCAATGCGCCAATGCAAGTAAATACTTGGCCGGCGTGGGATTCGGCACCGGGGCAAATACCATAAGCTCCATCCAAGTTTTCACAACTTTGAATGTGAGACACGGCTTTGGGGACGTCGACTAGGTCCATTAGACGCAACAGCGACAAGGCATTGAGGGCACCATATAAGAACCGGGTATCTGTTTCACCCCACTGGTCTCCCATGAAGGATCCATCTGCATTCTGTAGGTTTGCAATGACTATAATAGTTTAGTAAACAATCCTTGATAACAGTCAATATGAGGGACGCTGTACAAGACCCAACTTTCTGCTTTCCACCTCGGCCCCGCTTCTCGAGTTCATCGACAGCGTCAATGGTGATGAGGATCTGAACCGCGGAGACGGTATACAACATATGGGCATCATGACCTGGGGCAGCACCAAAGCCTCCATTGTCATTTTGACACGAAAGGACGAAGTCGATAGTCTGATCTCGAGGTAACGTATCCGGACGACCTAGAATATGCAGGGCTGTGAGACCCCAGTACACACCATTTAGTCGAAGGTGCTCGGTTAGCCAATACTCCAGCTCATCTTTTCTCTATGTTGGTTAATAATCGGCATTCCAACATTTTCTTTGAAGGAGGACGCACTGTGTCTAGATTCTTGATGTAAGTGACATGCTTGGAGGTGTGTAGTTCAGAGTCTGCGGGGCCTCCAGCTCTACCTGGGCCTGATACTAGAGCCATGTCTTGGGATGGAGGTGGCTGATCTGATGGCCACTGATTGGATGGGATGCAGGTTAGTAGATCTGAGATCTGAGAGCTTGTGAAAGTATCAACATGTTTAGTCAAGGCGGTGAAGCTAGATGTATGCAAGAGTGGACCTTTTTTTAAAAAATTAGTGGGATGGCCTGGTCCGTGCATTTGCACGTGATTCACAGGCACGTGCCGGGAGATTCGGCTAATTATTATTTGATAATCTAATCCGTGGTCGGGATAGTTATTTCTATGGTAGTATTACATACATTGGGGAAAGTGAACAAAATGAGTATAGCCATTTGCAACATCGTCATTGCGTATAGCACTTATGTATGCTGCATCACTATACTCGACACTGATTGGTACAAGCCCTAGATCCACCCAACCTGCCCTGTGCACGTGCACACCAAAAGCACTGTCATCCCCGAGGCGCTAGTTTGACATTTCCAGCCATGTTTCAGATTGGATGGAACCCCAAGTTGTAAATTCGAAATAGGATGGCGGTGTACAGAGTAGGAGAGTACAAGAAAGTATTCAACCAAGTCATGGTATATGCCAGATATACAGTAAGAATTGAATCCCGTCGAGCACCTGGGCATTAATCTAACACAATCTAACAAAGTATCCATATTTATTATTCGCTCTATGTTGTAGCGCTCTGCCGGAGCTAGTGGCTGTATTGTCAGCGTTGTAGCTCCGAGTCTTCCCACGTTATACAAAGATTCTTAATGCACACGGTATGGAAACCTTCTAAAAATGTCCCTCAAACAGGATATCCCCACTTGGGTATATCAGTCTTTATCGGGAAGATGGGTTCCAAGGTTGGACCCGAGACAAACTAAATTAATTTATAAAAGTGGACGTACTTCGGACACGGACATCGTTGTGCATTCATTTAGCCGTTACCCCTGATATGGGGTGCTAAATGGATAAACCAATATATTTAATGCCTCGTCTTATTGTCTTATGTTTTACTCCTGAGGTATAGACATACATAGTTTTCCGAGATACTCACGACCAGGTGACTAACAATCCATGGATCCGACAACGAAAATCAGGTACTGATTTATTGTACTGCTACTGGCTCTCCGATTGACCAATAATGGGTTACATTGCAACGTCAAGCCCATGGCTCTGACCTACAAAAGTGGAGAGCTCTGATCATTCATGTTCCACTATAATCGTGTCAAGCACACATCGGAGACAAATAGAATCTAATCCCGTTCCCAGCGAGAGTTTGGTGACGCGAGCCAATGCCAATTGAGTAAGCAGGATATTATCCAAGATAAAGATAGACATTTACATGGGACGGACATTTATAGATGATCCAAGCAATGGCGTCCCTTGGGTTCTGACATTTCGTTCAGGGGAATATAAGGAAATTAAAAAAAAAAAGGTACCCCCCCTCTTTTTTCCATTTAACTGTACGTACTTCCGTATATAGAATTGGAATGTCTAAAAAAAAAAAAAAGAAAATGTCGAAGGGTTTCATGTTTCCATGTATAATTTTTGATATCTAATAATTATGACTTCTATAGTGTGGCTTGTTGGCAAGTCTCTCCTCGGACTAGTGTACCGCTAAGTCTATTAGGAGACTTGCACTGGGTTTTTTTTTGTTTACTGAACTTCAATTCTTCAATTCTTCACCTTTCGTAACTCTGACTCCTACATCATAACCATATCCTAGTTAATCTGAATTCCTTTTTGTCCTTGATCCACCACGACTCCTATCTCGCCCCCCCCTTCCGCCCTGCCGATCCCCGAACTTCCAAGCGCCCAAAAAAGAGGGGGAAAAGTGAACTTGAACTGAACAAGTCCCGGTCTCACAAACCAGGAGACATCGGCGAAAACGTACTGAAACTATAATATGAGGAATTTGGTGAGTGATCAGCTGAACCTATCCATTGTTTCTGCGATCTCGTTTCTGGCCTTGGCTGTCAACAAAGAGTCGAGGTGTGGCTTCTATTAACTCGTTTGCCTGCATATGTCACCACATGCAGTCTTACCTGTCTTTTTTTGGCTCTTCTTCCTTTCACGTGTATTTGACCTTGCGCTGATCCTATAACTGGCGCAGATCCATCCTCGATACTCCGTTTGATACATACTTTCGTCATTACGGTTAGGTAGACATTGCCTATCTCCTACTGAGCTTCCAAGTCGCTCCGCCCCACGGACCTCACAGCATTGATACCCATACGAGTCTCTCAGCCGCATACGATTCAGGATTCAGCGCTGGCCAAGTACATAACTAGTAGCCCAAGGATCCATCTGAAGCTGTGGCGGGTCTGATAAACTACACAACCCCGACCCTCGAACTTTCACATACACCCTGGACTGGGTCCAAGTGTCGCCCAACATGCCAAACCGAGCTTCAACAGTGCCCAACCTTGACTTCAGCTCCTTCAAGATCGACTTGAAGAAAGAGAAGGTCACATCGCCTCTGACGCCAGGTGACCATAGTTCAGACGGTCCGACCCCCTTAACACCACGTTCGCCCAAGTCTGCCTCGAGCTCTCCACTCTTCAAAGGCGCGACAATTCGCCCTGTCACGCAAGACTCCGACAAGGCAACCAGCCCTACTCTCCCGCTTTCCCCCGGTGCAGGCCCCTCCGAGCCTACAACACCCGGTATCACAGCTATTCCTCAACATTTCCCTTCTCCCAAAGACTCCCGACATACGCGCGATGCCTCGAAATCATTTTTCGGCAACCTGAAAGCACCAAAATCATCACACAAGTCACAACGTTCAGATGGCTCGGAGAACTCCTCCGAACATCCCAAGAGCAGAGGCAGCTCCAGAGAGCGGAAGTCATCAATGACTTCAAAGCCATATGGGTCCACGCCCGATCTTCCAGGGGCAGTTGCCCGTGCGAATGGAACCGAGAGGACTAGTGAGTTTCCCTCTCCACCTGTGTGGTTCATATCTAACAGAACAATCTACAGATGAACTCTCGGGCCACAAGAATGCGCACCAAACAGTTACCAAGAAAGTCGATACAGAGCTAGATTCCGCCGCGCCGAAGAAGAACAAACAACGATTTGCAAACCTTTTAACCCGATCTCGCTCCATTCGAGTTGACGACTCCTCCGGACCTAGACCCCCACGCCGACGCCCGTCCACTGGTCTGGCCAAACTTGAAGAGTTCAGTCAAAGCGCAACAACGACCGCGAATCCACCCCGTTGTGAGACTGCGCGACCAGAACGCCCTGTTCGGGGAGGCTTGCAGCCCCCTGAGCGCCAGGCCGACGCCATATCTTTGCGAAAAGAGCGCAGCCACGGTAACATCGTCGCATCGGGCTCGCTCAGTCAAGTCTCCGGTGCCTCATCTACCATCTTCAGCAACCTAAAGTCTTCAGGAAGCAGCACCGCAGACCGAATTGGCAAGGCCGGGAAAGGATTCTTTGGCAAGATCACTCGCAGCGGAAGCACCAATGAGAGAGAGATGATCACCGATGACTCGTACACGTGCTCGGTGATAAATCTCCCGCTCATTGAGCAGGCGAGAAAGACCCGCATTGCGAAGAAGCTCGAGGACTGCCGAGACAAAACCGAGTTCTGGATGCCTGCCTTACCATACCGCTCGATTGATTATCTAAACTTTAAGGGTTGTGAGGAAGAGGGTCTCTACCGTGTTCCCGGTAGCGGCAGGGAAGTCAAGCACTGGCAACGACGATTTGACACAGAACTCGACATCGATCTCTTCGAAGTCCCTGATCTTTACGATATCAATACGGTTGGATCTCTCTTCAAAGCTTGGCTTCGTGAGCTTCCCGATGAGCTTTTCCCCAAAGCAACGCAAACGATGATTGCTACGAAGTGCGAAGGCGCCACGACCGCACCACAGCTACTCAAAGACGAGCTTTCCAAGTTACCACCATACCATTACTATCTCCTTTTCGCCATTACCTGCCACCTTAACCTCCTTCACTCATACGTGGACCAGAACAAGATGGACTACCGCAACTTGTGCATCTGCTTCCAGCCCTGCATGAAGATCGACGCATTCTGCTTCCAATTCTTAGTCTGCGATTGGAAGAACTGCTGGCAGGGATGCTGGACTGAGAAGGAATACCTTGAGATTGAGAAGAAGATGGACGAGCGCGACCTGCGGGTCTCAGTAGAGGCCGCCAAGGCGAAGGAATATGCCTCTGCTAGCCACGAACGCGCTATCTCGTCTTCCAGCAGCAGCGCTGGGGAGGAATCCCGTCAGCCTTCCCGGGAGCCTTCCCGTGATCCACCTCGCCCGGCGACCTCATCACGCCCAGCAACAGCTCGTCCAGCAACCGCTCGCACCCGAAAGGCTCCGCCGAAGAATATCGAGACGGCACACTCCCGAAGCATCTCTCAACTTCCCGAGCTTGGCCCCCCGCTCTCTCCTATCAAAATTTAAATCCGAAAGACGTCTTTCCTGGCAAAAACTTGTCTTGGATGAAACCAGCCTCACGTCGTTATCTACCTTTTGTGGCCTGTTCCAACTGGGCTGGCCCGATATCCGTTCTATCTGCCGGACCAGATAGGACTGGACAAGTTGTTTCAGAGTGGCATTACCTTCCTCCACCATCACCATTTTCTCCTCTCTCCGCACCTCTGATATGATACCTACATCGCTGCTAGCCGTATGATCGGTCGATATCTTCATTGTCATTTGGTCTCAACCGCATATTGGGATCGAATCCCTTATCAATATTCCTCTTCCATATGTACATATTTTGCTTTCCTGGCATCTACTCTGAAGGCGAATGGCCGGCCGTTTCGTTTACTCGTGCCATTTTGCTTGACTCTTGCATCGTATCTCTCTCTTTTTCGCTGGCTCTTGTCTATTTGGAAGCGCAACAAATCTCATTCCATGCTTTGCTTGATATTGCGACATCTCCAGATTCCCCACTGCGGTTGACATTGGTTTCCATCATCGCTATTTGTTTTATGTTTGGCGCGTTTTGCAATGGGGGTTAACGTTTCCATTTTGCTTTTTTGTTTGAAGTATGTATCTGGCATTTTCCTTTCCGAGGATTGTACAATAAATGAAGTGAGAAAGGCACTTTTCGGTTCGAGCAAGATCATTTCTGGTACAATAATCCCCATAGCCTCACACAGATAAACCAAGACTATCGAGCTATCGAGTAAAGGCCATCGCAAATATCGATAGATGCAATAAGACTGCTTTTGGTGAATCACGGTATGTCCACAATACATGAAGGATCCCATTCGACTCCCAACCCCAACGCCAGAGATGTAAAAAGAATCACAGGAAAAGCCAGAGGCCATAAGATAAGTGGAAAAAAAAAACGAAAAAGAGATCAATCAACGACCACCCCTCATTTCGCACGAGCAGGGTTGGATCGCTTCTCATTCGACCGCTGCTTACGCTCATTACGCTTAATACGGTCCTTGCGCTCAGTCCGAGACATACCACGAATGTTACCTCCATTGGCATTAGCCTCAGCCTCCTTCTTCCACTTCTTCTCATCAACCTCAACAAGCCACTGGTTCTCGTCGTCCTTGTTCTTGCCCTTGTAACCCCAGCGCGGCACCCACTCGCCAGAAGCCTCGTCGTACTGAAGCTTCTTGCGGCGCTCCTTGTCCTGGCCGGCGGCACCGGGCTTCTGGCTGAACTTGCCAATACCCTTCTTGCGGGCGAACAGCTCCCATTTCGTGGGGGCCTTGGGGACGGGGAGCGGCTTGTGGCGCGGGAGGTGGATGTTGGGGGCGGGGAGGTTGAGGAGAACGCCGTCTGAGACGGAGGTCTTGATCTCGCAGGTTGTCAGGAGCTGATTGAGGAGGACCTGGACGCCGTCACGGGCTGTCGCTTTCAGGGAGTCGTTCAGCTTCTGGTCCTCAGGAAGCTCAAGGGGGTTGGGGTCATTGACGAGCAGGTGGCCCAGGTCGAATGTGTAAGGGGTGGGCTTTGAGACGGTGATGGGGCTGGACATGGGATATTAGTTTCTGTATTTTTCTTCCGGTTTTTTGGGGCCTTCTTGGTTCTGGAAGAGGGTTCTTACAGTCTCTCGGTCTTGGAGCCAGCCGCAGCCGCAGACGCGGTGTTTGCCATCTCGATATCAGGCATTGCGATACTTGTAATATTGGTAGACTGTTGATGTTCGAAGGTGGGTATCAGCCCGAAGAAAAAAAAAAGTGGTTATCAGATACAGCCGCTTTACTTTTCTGCCATGACTAAGGCATCCCCACCGCCTTTCCTTCTCAGGGCGGGCGGATTTCGCATCAAATTATTGACCGAAGTGTTAACTGCTGTTGTTTTCTCAACTCAATTCCCACCCACCTCCCCATCTCAGCACCGGTTGTCTCCTCGCTGGCTGCGCCGGTGTTTTTGACAACAATGGCCTCCTCGTGGTGCTGGAATTGCCTCTCGAGGCTTCGCCCGACACCACGAGCACTCCTCCCGCCGTCCGCAACGCCCCGGATTTCGAGCGCCCCCTTCCACTCCACCGCCGTGCACTATGCCCAGCCGGCCAAGAAGAAGGGAAACAGCTTGACTGCTGTGAAGCACAGGCAGTCAACCAGCTTGAGAAGGAAGAAGAAGAAGGTCGCTGATCGCGGTGGACGTCCCCCGGCCGTGGGTGAGCGCAAGGCTTTGCGGAAACGCATTGTCCTGAGCAACCCCAATGCCCTCGAGATTGAGGGCATGCTCGAGCTGTCCCCGGAGACCATGGTGGATTCCCGTCTTCGTGGTACCGTTCTGGGATTGCCTGTGCCGATGATCGATCAATTGAGAGCAGTGCAAGCCTTCAAGCCTAAGCAGGGCTGGTCGATATTCCGCCGACCTGGAACGGTCCTCCGACGTGATACCATTGAGATGGGTCGTTTGTTTGAGCAGATCTCTGGGGAGGGCGATAATGCCCAGAAGGGCAAGGTTGTCAAGAAAATTGTTACTGGTATGAAGGGGTCTGGAAAGACCGTTCACCTGCTCCAGGCTATGGCCATGGGCTTCTTGAAGAAGTGGGCTGTGATCACTATTCCCGATGGTAAGTGGGACTATTCACTAGTGTATCTTTCAATTTCGCAGCTGCTGACCTGTCAATCTTACAGCCCGAGACCTCGTGTCTGGTGACACCGCCTACGCCGCCATCGAAGGTAGCAACCCTGTGCAGTATGTCCAGCCTAGCGCCACCTCGGCTCTGTTGACTCGCACCGTCGATGCCAACCGCGAGCTCCTCGCTAGCCTGAAGGTCTCCCAGAACCACCCAGCTCTAAAGATGCTGAAGCCTTCCTCGACCCTCGAAGACCTCGCCAAGCTTGGATTCAGTGATCCTGCTGTCTCCTGGAAGGTCTTCCAGGCTCTCTGGACTGAGCTTACTGCTACTGCCCCCGCCGCAGGATTGGAGAAGGACTTCCAGCCCCGTCCTCCCATGCTTGTTGCCGTGGATGGTCTGGCCCACTGGATGGTTGAGAGTGCCTACCGCTCCGCTGACTACAAGCCGGTCCACGCCCACGACCTCGCCTTCGTTAACCACTTCCTCTCATTGCTAAAGGAAAGCGATTCCCTGAAGAACGGCGGTCTCCTCCTTTACGCCACCTCATCCTCGAACAACCCCAACCCCTTGGCTCTCAAAATTGCCTTGGACCGTCTGGCCGCCCGCCAGGCCGGTATCAGCGCCTCCTCGCCGGAATACCCACAGCCAGAGGCCTACAGCAAGGCCGATCCTCGCGTCCTGGACCTGCTCCAGGCCGCAGAGAAGGCTGCCAGCCCTCTTGAGTTGCAGACGCTAGGCGGTCTCACTCGCGACGAGGCTCGTGGTTTCATGGAGTACTTTGCTCGCAGCGGTCTGCTGCGTGAGATCATCAATGACCAGTGGGTGAGCGAGAAGTGGAGCTTGTCTGGCGGCGGTATCATCGGCGAACTGGAGAAGCTCGGCCGTCGCGTTCGCGTCACTGCTTCCGCCTCGAAATAAGGGGTTCTGTCTTGCATTTCTTTCTCTTGTCTTATCTCCGGCTTTCAAATTTGTCTTTCACGTTTACCACTGTATATCGGATGCTGGGGTTTTCCTTGTGTGTTCTTCGCCCATGTATTTTACAAATCTCACTTGGTCCTTGTGTCTGTATGCATATAATGGATTTGTTTTTGGAAAAGTCTTATATCCTTCGATCTAGTCACTTCGCGCTACCATTAAGTCTCTTCCACGACTAATGAAACACTAATCCGAACAAACCCATTCCAGGCTCGACATTGAATCGATCCTCAAGCATCCAATTTCTTCGGCCGAATACCCCTCACCACATCAGGATAATCAAACTTAGCCGTCGCATTCATAAATGACGAACGCTCTGGATGCGCCTCAGGGACATCATCCCCCCGGCTCAAAAAGGTCATCGGGAACCCAATATCAAACTCATAAGCCCCCTCAATTTCCTTCAAATCCTCATCAGATAAATCAACCTTAAGCCCCTCAATATTCCCCAATAAATGCTCAACCTTACGACCACCCACAATCGGGACCACATACGGCGCCTTGCGCATCACATAAGCCAGCGCAACGCTGGTCAACGCAGTGTCGTGTCGAGCAGCAATATCCTCCAGCACCTTCGACACGGCAATGTCCCGCTCCGAGGCGGGAATCTGTCGTCCGGGATTGTTCCCGCGGGCGATCTCTTCTCGCTGTGCGGTGGTTTTGAATAAGCCGCCGCCGAGGGAAGCCCACGGTGCGAGGCCCATTCCTTCGGATGCGGCCATGGGGATGATGTCGCGCTCGAAATCGCGGGTTGCGGCGTTCCATTTGCCTTGGTACACCGAGAAGGGGCGGAGGCCGTGGTCGCGTGCGTCTGTGGTTTAGGTTAATATGGGCGTATATGGGTTGGGAGGGAGCAGCGGTAATATAATAGCTAGCTGTAAATGGAAAACTTACATTGATTCGCCTTGGTCACGATCCACGCTGGTGTATCGCTGATACCCAAGTACAGAACCTTTCCAGCCAAGACTAGCTGGTTGAGCGAGGTCATGACCTCCTCGATGGAAGTACTGAAATCCCACCAGTGGACGTAGAGCTATACTCGGAAGTTGTACTTGTTAGCCAGCTTGGAAGAGGCCCCCGAGAAGTAAACCGAAAGAAGCAAGCCACATACCAGATCAACATAATCCGTTCTCAATTTCTTCAAACTCGCTTCGACAGACAGCTTCAGGCTCTTGGCATTATTACCAACGAAGTTCGCCTGGATCTCAGACTGGTTGTGAGCGCGGTAGGCCGAGGTATACTTCGTTGCGAGGACGATTTCATCGCGCACGCCGCGAACTTCCATCCACTCGCCGATCCATTTCTCAGATTCTTCAGCTTGGTAGTTGTTCGCTCTTTTGGTTTGTTAGTGATTAGTTTGGGGAACATTCAAGACTGGTTGATTGTATACGTATCAATGAAGTTGCCTCCGTTCTCGTAGTATGTATCCAGGATCTGGAAAGACGTTTCTTTGTTGCATTCGCCGAGACCTTGCTTCCTGTTCCGGTGTTAGTCGTTACTGCACATGTGATATTTGGATATAAGTATGTATTCCACGTACCAGCCATCACCGAAGTTCATCGATCCCAGGCATAGTGGGCTCACTTTAACGCCGGCAGTGGGTGCTAACAGGCGATAGCGGCCGAGGTGGGACTTGGGGGTGGTAGCTCGAGCTAACATGGTGGGAATTGAGAGGATTCAAATTGGTTTGGTATGGAAATGATGATTTGGACTTGGGGATTTCCCGTCCTTTATAGCACACCACATGCGGGGTTAACTGCGTTAATAAACTAGTGCAACTAATGCATGAATGTCGCCGGTGGACGTTAAAATATCCTTTAATTCCTAATTCCGGCAAGTCTGCGTCTAATAGGGATGTTTCGGGGTATTAGGGTTAACTCCGTTCTGATATGCATATTGGCTTTGTCACATGGATACAATCGTGTTATACCTCAGAATCCGCTGGACTTCCGCTGGACACCCGTATATCTGGGTCTATCCCTGTCCTCATCCTCGGCCTTAACACCCTCGACCACAGCATCATTGGCCTCATCCCCATCCTGTTTCTCTCCCTATCCCTCCCCCTCCCCCCCCTCCTCCTCGTCCTCGTCCTCATCGCCATCGAGATCGTAGTATGTATCATATATATCTTCCACAATCTCCCGGTACTCTCTCAAATAGTCCTCCATCTCAGAATCATCCTCTCCAAGAACGCCACTCCAATATTCCCGCTTTGGCGGAATCGTCACTGGACCCGGTGTCCAATCAATAGTCCCATCGCCCTGGGCAGCATCGCTATCAGACACAGATTCAATGTTCCCTTTATCAACAGTAGGAGCAAGCCCTCGGCCTTGACACCTGGGACACTCGCAGTTCTTTCCAAACAGTTGCACAGCGTGCATATTGAGATCGGAGTCTTCGCCAACGGGATCAGCGATCCTATAACGTTGATATGGAACTCTAATCTCTTCTCCAGCTTTGATATCCTTGTTCGCCCAGATGACCACGCGGTTGGGGACCTTGTCATCGTATCCCCACAGTGCGTTCTCAAAAGGACGACAGGAATGATTGAACATGCTAAATCCAGGAAAGAGAAAGAAATTCCCAAACGATGGTTCCATTGCCGAGAGATCTTCGTGTCTGTCTCTCATTCTACTTTGTAGGGTTGGGTGTAGCACCGGCTTGGGACCATCTCGATCAGTGAACGTTGGGTTCGCACCTCGCCGTGCATGCTCCCATGGTACAGCATTGACCAGCAACTTCCGCAGTACAGTCTGAATGACCCAAGTATCGAATGAGAGGTCGCAGAAAATGTCCACTCCAAGGTTGAAGAGGATATCGAACGGTATCTGGATATTACCGGCCAGAGTGAAAGGGAACCAGGTGTCTTTCCACGGCTCGTTGGTGTCGGTACCTGCCTCGAGGACGAGGAGTTCGTTAATTTCATGCGCGAAAAGATTAGGGTCCTCTTGACGGCGGTGGAGCGTGAGTTCGAACACGCTCTTCAAGAGTAGACTCAACACAGTCCCGTGGCGTTCATTGGTGTGAGTAAAATACTGCGATCCGCCCCATGTCACTTTATTAGGTCGCATGGAATCGTGCAACCAGCCCCAATCGAGGCCACAGAATTCTTGGAAATGGTACGTTTCGCGCGCAATGGACAAGCAGTGGGGAGCCATGCCGTCTGATATTGCATCGTTGGAAGAACAGAACAGCAGACCGCCTCTCGTCGCTCTGAAATATCCTACATCCGTACATTTACACATCATGTCAAGACACACGCAATCAGCTTGGTGCCTCCATCCGGGATCTGGTGCCGGATCCTGAATGGAGTCCCAGTTGTCCTCGATATGCTGGACCTCGTCTGGGTCAATCAACGTTTGACAGTTGTCACATCGTGGCACATGGAGGGTGTCTTGGCTTTCATCATCGAGTAGCTTGTTGGGGATGAGATTTCCGCGAACAACGGGTTCCTCGTAGTGAATTAAGGTTCCTGCTTTGATGTTTGCAGTGGCAAAGACTCCCAAGCCATTGAAGCAATTGTCCTTTGTGAGTGGTCGTACCTGGCATGTCCGTTGGGAAAATCTTCCGACACTGGCATTGATTATGAAGAGATTTGCATTGAGTGCATTGATGAAGTGCGGCGATTCGCGTTTCACATCCGCTTGGTCGTATGGATATTTATCGGCGCCTGAAATCCATCCTCGGCTCCACTCGTGTCCATAAAGGGACGGATGAAGCGTTGAGGGAATATCTCTCCTCTGTGCGATCTCCTCTTTCACGCGGGCGCTCACTGTCATCCGTTTCTTGGGGACTGACACATCGCGGTATGGCAGAGGTCGTTGGAGTTGACCATGCATGTGGTCATCAAAATCATCCCAACAATTCAATGCTGCGAGGCTGAGACTGGTGATGCTGTGAAGGGCGTTCCTCAGAGTTGGAATGAAATAGTTGACACCATTTGCCTTCCTCATTTGCAGAACCTCCCTTGTCATTGGGACTCCCTTGATCTTCAATTCCATCATCAGGTGCTGCTGAATGGCGTCCCAAACTCGGGTATACATCCCAGGGCGTTTGTTCCTTTGGGTTGCTGTCGTCAACACTTCGCAGAGAAGTTCTCCGCGGTAGGCATCTCCAATGGCGAGATCAAAATGGCCTAGTAGGTAATGGCAATACGCACGGCTGTTCCAGTATGTTGGATTGTACGGGCTCAGTTTAATTGCCGCGGTATACATTTCAAGTGCAGACATATCTGTTCTCGTAGCAGGACTCATTACAGGCCTTGGCTCACGATGGATACCCCAGTGACTCAGGTTGCTTTGTTTCGAGACCCCAAAGCGCTCATCACATTCGTATTCCCATAGACGACGTTGTAGGTCTGTCTTTCTCCCATTTGTGCTTAGACCCCTCGATGTCAGTTCTTCTGTGAGTGCATCTTTCGTCCAAAGATCCGGATCTCTGACGTTAAGGCCGTGTACGAAGACTTTTTGTTTCATTGCATCCAGCCCCTGCACGCCGTTATAGGTCTCGTCCAAGCCCTCCTCTGTGAATCTGGCTCGTGCATTCTCACGCGAGATAGGTAGAAGTGGATTGCTCATCAGGTGCTCATAGACGTTGTGAGCCAACGCATGCATTACGGATTCTTCATCGTCGGGTGCTCGTGTATAGGGTCGATTTGCATGTGCCTTCCATGCACGTTCGAGGGATTCATCGGGCTGCTGCCAAAATCGACGGGCAAGAAATGCGTTGTCTTCGGTCAACGCTGGGGCTAGTGGCGCTCTATTGAAAATATCTGGCCGCTTTGGAAATGAGGGTGGATGGACGATATCTCCCCCAGGTAAGGTTTCGTATAATCTTCGCATGGGATCCATCTTGATATCTTGGATCAAGTAATAACAGTTTGAACGCGGGAAAGAGTATGTTAGGACTTCGATTTCCTTAGATCGCGTGAGTCTGTGAGTCCAACACAGACCCATGGAGTCGTGATGAAAGTATTAAAGTTAGATCAGTCTCATACTCGCCGCAGGTCTCGGCTGCAAGGAATCCCCATATCAAAGAGTCCCCGGGGGACAAAGAAAATATCAGATCATGTTTATTTTTAGACGAACACAGTCGACTTGAGTATAGTTCAACAAAGAACGGCGAAAGATGTGGTCTTTTGGAACGAACTTGCTTCGACAAAGAAAGCCAACAGTTCCCTTGGATAACTTCATATCAACGCCAATATGTAGTGGCTGGAGAGATCGGGATTCTTAGAGGTTGAAATCCACTCCACTTTTTGGTGGGAAACTGCCTTGGAGTTTAGAGAAATGTCAAAACAAAGGATGAAGCGCGCCCCTATAGAATTTTCTCGAAGACTTATAGTCCTAAGTCGTGTATCTATGCAAGTAGATATATGCCCAACGGGTACTTATAGGTGCGTTGTAGGAAAGTTGCTGGATCGGGTGAACCGTGCTGACCCCCCAACCCCAACACAGCCTTGGAGATATATTTAGACCCTTTTAAAAAGACTAGACCTTTAAGATTCTCATGTCTTTGTAAAGTGCTCTAATCCACACCATGTACGGTCAGTCGAGTCGTTCTGATCCTCCATCACAGCCGGAATGGCGACTTCCTCAACGTCCGGCGCAGCCGTCGCAGTCACAGCCAGTGCCTCCTGCTCCTCCCCCTCCTCCTCCACGTCCCCCGGTTCAATATTCACCAGCTGCTCCATATTCACCGGCTACCTATGGACCGATTTCAAATCCACAGAGACTACCATCGCCGAGTGGTGCGGATACAACCACGTGGGGAGTGCGGTTCAACCAAAGCTCCGGTCCCCCACTGCCGGTAAGTCCGACCTTGGATGTCAAATGTAAACAACTAACCGTCGCATAGCCTCGACCTCCGAGTACCAATGATCAACGATATGCCTATGGACAATCTCAGTCGCCTGCATCTGTAGCAGCCCCTTTTCACGCCATCCAACCCTCTCCGCCCCCCCCTCCACCTCCTCCGTCATATACACGAACGCCCGCACCACCCAGTGTTCCACAACCGCCTCCAAAGATCCCACAGGGGTTCCAACATGCACCAACCGTACAAAGCGATCAAACGGGGCGAGTCCCATTGCTCGCTCATGGCGCGGGGCCGGCTGCAATGATTGGATCTTACGAATTCCGCCCGCCTATCCTCGATACAAGTACTACAACCACCAGCGCATCGGCTCTGGGCCCTGGAACACCATCGGATTGGGAGCATCTTGGTCCAACACCTGGACACTTTGACGACGCACCGTGGTTCCCACCTCGCAGAACGCCCTCTCCGCGTCACGAAACGTTTCAACCACCAAGGCCTCCGGCTGATATTCCCAATGTGCCTGTGGAAAGTGAATCTCACATCGTCGCTCGCCCGAGAACAGATACAAATGAAACGCTTTCAAGTACTATCTCCGGGGCGACACAATCAGGACGAGCTACCTCACATTCGCCCGTCAGTCCATGCACAACACAGGGAATATCAACACCGCCTTCACTGGTCCGCGTGGACACCACCAACTCTGCCTTGTCTATGGGACGTTCAGACAGTATCGACAATGTAATTGATGCATGGGTCCGCCCATTATCTCCTGCGCATAAACCAGTTCAACCGGAACATCAGGACCGCCCCAGCGGGTTCAATCAAACTAGCCCAGTAGAGCGCTCGCAGTCTGCGCGAACCAGCTCGTCAATTTTTGACCATTTGCGATCGAGCTCGAATAGTTCTGCGCGAATGGTCGAAGGATCTAGAAGGGTGGCTACGCCAAAGAACCAAGATCCCTTTGAGGATATGGACCCCTGGTCCAAATCATCGTTGGAAAGATATATTGCCATGCTACGTAAGGAGGCAGTGGCTGACTTGGATGAAGAACGATATAAAATCTTCACGGCTTTCATGGCCAAGGAGACCAAGCTCCGGGAGATTCTCTATAATATTGAGCATGAGCCTGAGATTAAACCGCTGACTCCGCGGGCTCCTGGCCCTGCTCCTCCTCAACCGCTATCTGTTTCTAATCCCAAACCGCCTGTTGAATCGGGACTGATACCTGTTGCGTCAGAAGAAAGCCCGCCCATGTCGGCGGCAACAGCAACAGCAACAGCAACAGCAACAGAGGATGAAGATATCGATGATGTTGGCAGTGAGTACAGTTCAGGTGGCCGGCCCCTGCTCGCTCAGCAAGCGCGACGGAGCTCGCAATTTCTTCCTAATTTATCTACTGTGACCTCGGGCGCAGAGTCGGCTCATCTCTCAAGACCCTTATCCATGATGTCAACAGATACGCAGAAGCAAGTCTTGGAGCCCCTGGCTACGAACCCCCCGCGGCCCATATACACGCCATTCCAGTATAAGGAGGGTCCTCAGCGAGGCTCGGACAACCTCACATTTGCTCGCCCAGCCTACAAAGCCTACTCTGATATGCGGCAAGCAGCTGTCAGTGGGCGAGTCATGTCAAATGCGCCGGCAACTACATCTCGTTCGAGCTCAAGCACTGCACTTGCATCTCCAACTCAGAATGAACATGACGAGACCTTTCTCGGTCTAATTCGTCACAAGAGCGTCGCTTATTCTAAACCGGCAGAGCAAAACTCTCCGCCGCTTCCATCGCTGCCAGAAACTCTTCGTCAAGGCCGGCCGAAGGCCCTTGTGGAAGAATTACGCACCATAGTATCAAAGCCCTTGGACAAACAGTCTGAAAGCTCATGGCAGATCACGACTCGGGAAGGACTCGAAAATTTCTCGGACGATTTCTCGTGCATCAGACGGACCGCCGATCAATGGGAGGAAACAGCGCAAGCGAGACGGCAAAAGCTAGATCAGGAGCGTATGGCTCGTCAGGATGAATCTGAGCTACACATCGATGATCTTTTCAATGCGAAAGAGATCGGGTATGCAGACATCAATACCTTGGAAGAAGACTTCCGGCAAACTGAAGCTCGGGTCCAATTAGAGGAGGAACGACACGAAGTGGACGATTTCGTTACACATGTCTTCAACCCCTTAGACGAAGGCCTGAAATCTGAAATTTCGGCGCTTCGCAAGTCCTACGACGCTGCTCTCAGTCAACTTGACCGCGATTCACAGGGCAAAGCCCCACCAAGCGAACGAGGCAGCCCATCCGTGACCATGAAAATGGTTAATGACATTCACAATAAGCTTGAAATCCGATTCCAGAAACGTCTTGAATTAGCTCTTGACTGTGAGCAACGACGGAAGAAGGCTGAGCGGCGACCACTTGTGTTCATGGGTGATGTGGCTGGTCTGCGAAAACTAGACGGAGAATTTGACCAGATGGAACGGCGAAACATTCTGGAAGCGAGCAAGGACCGTGATGACCGAGCCAACCGACTCATGGATTCCTTCGACGATGCAATTTTGCATGGACTAGGTACAAATCAGACCCTCCTAGATGAAGTTGCCTCAAAAGCAGCCCAGCTAGATACCGCCACCCTTCGAGCCTCCGGTCTATCGATTTCTGAAATTGAGCAGATTCTCAAATCTGCAGCAACCTTTGCGGCATCCCTCCGAGCCGATTCGGAGGCCATAATCCGCAGCGCCGGGGTTGCAGATATGACCCTCAACGACGCTGACTATGGAGTGTCCGTGGCGGAAGCGCGATATGCCAACTCAGAACCGGATATTTTCCATCGGCTTGAGGATGAGAAGAAAAAAGAGGATGAGAAAATCCAGGAAGACCTAAATTCAAAGTTGCAGAGCATTCAGAAGGGGCCTGTGCAGATTGAGGCCACAATTCAACGCCTTCTCCTTGGCTTACACAACGACCCCCACACCGCTGCCCCGATCTCCCCAGTCCACGATTCTTTCCCAAGGAGGTCATCTGGTGAAGTGGCTATACCTCCAAGTCTTCGCCCTTCGACTACTAGCCCGAGTCCATCTTCCAGTCCAGCGCCCGTGAGTCAAAGCACGGATGAAGAATTGGAACATAAACAAAGGCTTCTTAGAGCGCTAGAGGCAGCCAAGCAGCGCAACGCTGCCAGGAGCCACCATTGATGGAGTGGGAAGCAGACCAAATGGAACATCCTGGACGCGACGAATTGTGACGAATTTTCTTGCATTCAATATTATACCCTTTTCTCTTTTCTCTCTTTTCCTGTCCACGTGTTTGTGTTTCAGCTCGTATTTTCCAAGTTGATACCCACTTTATGCAATCTACTAGTTAAATGAAGACTAGGGTAAATTGCCTATTTTGATCATTTTGTTCGCACACTTGGTTTACAGCTAATTCTTACTATGTTGCCCTTTAATATTGTCTGATTCTTTCCAGTAGTCAAGTTGATAAAATATTCTAAACAAGCTTATATGGAAATTGAAGTATATTCCTAGTTTGCGTCGACAACATGCAATCTGATGGAGGCTTTTGCACCCGATGTCACACGAAGATTCTTTAACATTCTGATCTTGTGTGTTAGCTATAAATATCATTATAGCACTCTATCTTCTTCGCTGCCTCCAGTGCTTGCAGGACAACTTTGATGATAGACCTAATCGTCGAAATCATACCCTTTTTTTTTCCCTCCCAGAAGACCCGTAAGCCTCCGATACATTTTGAGAGCATGCTGATTTTCCTTTCCCTTTCGCGCCACTGTGGCTGCGTCGTAGACAGGGGCCAAATTCAGTCAAGTGATTGAACGCGCAGGAAGGGGGAAAAAACAGCGCACAGACGATATCTTCGAACCCTCAAGAACCAAGCTCAAGGAAGTTAGCCATCACCTACGCTATGTGTGAATCTGATCGCAGTGCATACCAAGGCACAATTTTTAGGCGCCTAGGGATGACGATTGGCAGGCGATAGCCAAGCCAGTGAGCTAAACGCCAATTGCTGCCGATCAGCCGTGTTGCGCAGTCAAAAAGGCCTGCCGCAGGCTCAACAGACCTCTCGAGTTGTCCCGGTGCTTGGGCCGCATCAACTTGCAAGGATAAAAGATTACCTCCAAACCCAATGTCCAATCTGGCGGGTCTTGCTGTGCCGCTCAGGGAGCTGTGCGTCGCGCTCGGATTCGTTGCGCTCTATATGGATATCGATCCCCTGACAACTTGCAGCCGAAAGAACGTCGCATACAACATATTGTCCTGCGCAGGACTTTTAGTCCACTTGACATGTCGTCTTGATGGGTTATAGTTGATCCACTCTCCAATGATTTCTCTGCGCGCTATGCAAGGTAGGGCCCCCCATCTTGGATGATGCAGGCATCGTATGGTGTCAGGGAAGTAAAGTCATTGCGGTCTATACTCCGTATATGGCTGGGTTTCTGTCGGCTGCGCTCGCCGTCCGTGGTAATCGGGGCATCGGATTCTCATCGGGGTCAAGAAACCAGTCACCATTCTCGTTTGGAATAGTCTATCACATTCAACCACGTTGATGAACAGGGGTTTCAAGGTGCGTTTTTTTAGCGTTTTTCTTTTGAGGCATGGTTGCCTCGTGGATAAAAAGAGCCTCGGGTTCCCGAGAGTCGTGACATCCTAGCAATTCTCCACTGTGGAAAATACCAGGGTGCAATCATGGCCAACGAAAAGCGACTTATACGAATGGCGATCCAAAAGCGATGCTGTTCTGGAGCTTCGAAAAAATTTCCGATCTCCCTTTCGATTGCTCGGGAAGCAATTGCAGCTTCGCTGTCTTACGTTGTAAGGTCCAGGCTGGGGTTTTTTTATCTTGTACTGAGAGCATCCCCGTCATCTTCCCAGCTTCCGAGGCGCGGCCCCTGTCCTTTTCGCCTACGTCAGGGTCTATATCTCGCAAACAGCGTATACCTACTCTATATGCAAATACGAGATGCAAGCTTTGCATTGGTCAACTGTAGAATCAGCCACCCTGCGACTCTCAGGGATCAACACACAACATACCAAGATTTAACTTTCTGTCAATTCCACTTACATTCTTTTCCAGTTGCATGCATTTGCTCTCAGGCAAGAACTGCGCGTCTTTACGAGACTGTGTCCTCGGATACCGTCGTAGCCATACCCGGGCTACAATCTGTTTTCAGGTGCCAGCCACTTAACCCCAGATATTTCCACAAGATCTCCCATTAGTGGATGTCTGTGCGCGCGATGATGCTGATCCATGAGATTGTAGGTAGGATTAAACGGCGCAGCTTTGTCGAGCCATCATCCCTTCTCCTGCAGCACATCCCATCGAGCCTCCGGATTTCCCCCTCTTTGCCTGAGCACTCACCTTTCACTAAGCGCTGTTGGGGTTAAAAAGAAAAAAAAAAAAAAAAAAAACCTCGAAAATCCCAAGCCGATTCGATTCCCCTGAAAGTTATTGTGAAATGACAAAATCATCTCAGTGGCCCCTAATTATTTAAAGCGGGCGACAGGGAAGCCCGTTCCATGGTTCAGTGTACCCGCTTCCGTCCATGGGTCGGGAGAACTCTGTGAGTCTACGACCGTGTGGGAAACCATCTTGTTCGCCCCTCTTTGATTTCCTTAAGGGAAGCCTGTCTTCTTTCTTTTTTTTTTCTCGCAATGTCCGCTCCAACAGGGCAATTTCATAGGCTGTCCATTGGTCCAAACATGCCAGATACAACACTGCCTACTAGAGCGACCCGCACCGGGCGACCGGACTCTTCCGATAGTGAAGGGGAGGATAGCTCAGAGAGCTCCAGTGGTGTGGAAGAGAACGAAGAAAGCAGCGATGAGCAATCCGAATCAACTAGCGCCTCCGTCCTCGCACTGTCTGGCATTACCTATGACCTCAGCCAACTAGATTCCGAGTCTGAAGCCAGGGCCTTTGTGGGCTTGACCGGCCGTTTTGATGTCGTCAACTGTCGCTCTACTCCCGCCGGATATGACTTTCAGCTGTTGGATCGGCCACAAGTGCACATTGGCTCCGACTCATTTACCTGCACGTGTCCAGTCTTCCAGGATCGACCGGACGGGGCGTGTCAGCACATCTTTGTGAGTATGCCTTTTGGGGGAAGCTTAAAAGGCCGAGAGGCTAAAACTGCCAATGCTAACCCCTATCCCCTGAACAGTGGCTCGTCGACCAACTGCACAGCTGCTTCCTCCCCACGCCTCAGTCAACGGAGGTGACACTGGGTCCAGACGGACGGCCGGACCGCCTCCCTCGGATCGAGGACCTCCTGAAGGGTAATTTGATGTCAGTTGCAGCACAGCTCAAGTGGCAGTGCCTCCGAGACGAGGAGGACGGGATGACGCGGACAGAAAAGGTCCGCGATATCTTTTCTGCATTCAGCAAACGCACTCTCCCAGAAGACACCCGCCGGGATTTGACAGAGACAATCGAGCAAGCACGAACGGCAGAGCAGTGCGTGGTCCAAGGAGATTTCGAGGCGACGATGTTCCGACTTGCAGTGCACGACGACGCGGTTTTTGACAGCCTCTGCAAAGCGATGCCCGCAGGCGCATGTGCGGCCATCTACTTCGATAAAGTACAAGCGCAGTCACGCCGACTTCTAAACGACTTTGACCGATATTGCACAACTGGCGAGTTGCCTGCAGACCCCGTGAGCCCAGGCCTAGGTATGGAGGTCAACGAGGTCGTAACCCAGCTCCAGCGTTCTGTATCCCAGGTTGCCGTCAACATCGCAGCACGTGCCCCGCACGGCTCGGAAGGTGCCGCCGAAGCCCTCGTATCTCTCCTAGAGTCAGTCGTGGCTCGCAATAACGATCCCCTCGAAGGAAATCGCCTAGGTCGCCAGTCCTTCCACGGCGAAGATGAGGACCAGCGCAATCTATATCACTTGCTCATCGGGTCGGTCGAAACAGACTCCGAAACAGACGCGCGGCACTTTGTCCTGAACGCGCTTGATGCCCTGCCACCGGTGGACCTCCACCAGTGCGCCAACCGCCTGCGCGACATCCTCCGCAAGATCGAAGTCAATCGTGCCCCAAAGCCATATCTACTCCATCTGGCATCGTTGATCCGTATCGCTGATTCTGCCGCTTCCGTTGCTGGGGGATCTGGACAAAAGCGACCCGCGGCCGGGAATGGAAATTCCGGGGGGTATTCAAAACGAACCCGCTGAATTCACCGATCTTTTTCTTTTATACATATGTTATCTGGTTTTGGGAGGCTATCGTGTTCATTCATTGCAATACCCCGCTGCATCTTGTCTTTACATTTCATCACGAATCGCTCCAGTTTTGTTTTGCTTCTCCGGCCTGTCATTCATTTACCCGACGTATTTTGATGTCTATATACGATCAAAAGAGCTGTTTATTGTCATAGCCATTTTCATATACAATCACTCTCACAGGCATCAGACAGTTTCGACATCCCATGCCAATATAGAAATCAAAACAACTCCAGGAACATGTCGTCATTGCCAAACCCAGCACTACGGCCTTGGGACCCCACAACCATGGTTTGCGTTGTGAGCTGGGTATCACCCCTGCCGCGCAGGGATAAGTTAGCCCATTTACGAGGTCGAGCCATGGAACCATTCTCGGTAGAATGTGGGTCACCCACACTTTGGAAATCCCTCCAATTTCTCTATTCTTCCTATCTTCCTAGCAGGCAAACGAATCAGCACCAACTTCCAATGCCGAGATCAAGACCGGGAGTCCTCCATGGATATAATCCCTGTAGATCTTGATATCCGGATCCATCCGATCGCTTCCCGCGTTCAATCTACATCTTGGGTACGGAGTACGGACGGACATAACTACCGGAGCCACTCGGCATTCTCAATTTTGATCTGCCCCTCAATCCACACTGTAGATGTTGAGTTCGATAATCAATAATGCGCGAAAATACGGTACGGACTAAACACACACCTGTAGACTATAGGTATACATGTATTAGGCTGTGCGGAGTTTATTATAGAGAAGGCATGGGATTCCACGTGCACAATCAAAAGTGGACATTTTTACCACGTTTTCGAAAAGGGATGGCTCGCCCCATATGGAGATGTGCTGGGATTCAGAGCCAAGCCGAGTTTAGGCCGTGAAAGTCAAAATGTTGGACCGTGCACCAAACTTACTGTATGCTTTGGGGCTAGTTTGCTTAGTGTTGTGTTTTATGGGGTGTTGTCTTGGGGTAGGACACCTACAGGGTTGTATATCTTGACAATGACAACAATCTACAAGTGTAGTTGTTGAAGGCAAGGGGGTAAGGGCGCGACCTATGTGGGTCATGAGAAGGAACTATACCGTTCGAGTTTTGTGGCAACTGGCAAGTTTAGAATGGTACTGTGATTTACTCACTCATATTCTCTTCGGGGAGTTTCCCAACAATAAAGCCAAGTTATCCAATGGTAGGGCCTAGGTAAGTCGTTCAGTTCTACTAGGCGATCCCGGCCTCGGCCCTTTTTGCTCTGCCATTTCATTAGATAGATCTACAAAACAGCCCTATAGCTTTACAATATGTAGGCATCATTCTGAAATCATGAACTCTTTAGTACAGGATGGTAAAGGTCTTGGTATTTGTTTTAACCAAGGCATTGTATATACTATACGCAGTTCTGGCTTAGGATACACCAAATAATATTGATTCATCCAATCATCTATCCAAAGTCAGATTATTGAACTGCGTAGTCAAGGAAATGAGTTTTGTCAGGTTTGTGCAAGTTCATCCCAAGGTTTAGGTTATCAAACTTGGATCTACGGATTGCCTCCGACACCTACCTAGGTAATTTATCGGGGATTGGCTCACGATTAGACCATCACTCAGCTCTGCAAACTCTTTCTAGCGTCTACAAACTCACCATAAAAAACCAAACCGTCACCAACAAGACAATATTCAAGCAAAAAAAATGAACATGCGACGAGATCTACCAGAACCCCCCGAGATCCTCACTCGCACGAACTGGAAATCATGGAAAAAAGACATCGAAAAACACGCCCGAAAAGAAGGAGTCTGGAAGTACTGTGACCCCAGTGCCCCAGAAAAATACTATCCCGAGCTCCATGAGCCCGAAAAACCACACGTCTCCACAGTCCGACCCGAGGCAGAATCCATCATTGACCTTGGAGAGGATGACTTCATCGAACTATCCTCGGTCGTGGATCTGTACTGGAAGCAGATGCACGTATACGAGAAGATCCAATCCGGACTAGAGGTCATCTTTAGACTTATACGATACCATGTCGACGAAGAATACCTGAATTTCATTAGGAATGCACAAACACCGCTGGAGCAGATGACGGCGCTATCTGCTAAATTCAAGGAATTTCGCCTGGGGAGTCTGCAGCCAAGATGGGAGCGTATACAAAAGCTGGCTAGTAAGGCGGAGGTACAGGAGTTATTTGAACTATGGAATGCACTGTTCACGGACTGCGATGGATATCATTCTGGTAACGCTCGTAACCAGGATGCCTTCTGGGAGTGTGTTGAGACAGCAGGATATTCCTCTGCAAACTGGTTACCTCTCACTTCTCAGAACTGGATTGAAAATCCCGACGCTGTTGAGTCGAGGTACTATGAGGCTTGCACTCAGCCTCATTCCGTGGTTAGGCGGGAGTCTACCGCTTCCCTGCACCGAATTCAAATACCCAGCTATGAGAGCGACCAATTCCATACACTGGAGCTAGAGTCTATCGCTCCCCGGCACTGGATTAAAACCTCCAACACTGTTAACTATGGGGATGGCTGTGCTCAAACTCGTTCGCCAGCTAAACGGGAGTTTATAGATTCTCCGTATTATGTTAGCGACAGCGAGTCTACGGTGTCAATTGGACACGCCTCTCTAAGCCCTCAGCTCAGTTCTAGGGCTGGTCGGAGTGATCAGCGTGGAGAAGTCTCTGGGGGCGATTTGGAGATAACGGGTCTTCTGCGACAGTTAGTGCGCCAGGCAGAGAAAGCGAAACCGAATTGCGATGATTTGGATAAATGGTAGAAAAGGACGGCGATGATGTATTTTATTTGGACTTTGATGCTTTGAGTTGGAACATTCATGTCTTTTCGTTGTTGATAGGAAGTGAGTTGCTATAGTTATTTTCAGGTGGATTTTGCTACCATTGCTTAACGAGACCATTGGATCACTTGATGGCCTCGTTGTTTGCCACGAACTGTCTTACACAGAATCAAGATCAATTTCAAGTGTCTATTTCTACTTTCGTTTGAAATTGTCCAGGGTGGATCATCAACTCGTCGAGTGGTCTATGGTATTATGATATGAAGTATGACCAAATCAATAAAACGTTTCTAATGAATTGTTTCTTCTTCTATACTCAACTCCCATCTCTGAGTTTTGTCTTCAGCATTGTTCTTCTCTATTTGATCCATTCTCTCAGTCGGAGAAAGTCCGCGTAGTCCTTCGGCAACTTGGGGGTGTTCTGGATATCTTGCATCCGTTCGTAGGCTAACGGCTATCGGCCTCTTGTCCCAGAAACTATTCTGGTTTATAGTGCACATTTATGCAAATTTGTACAATAACAAGGCCGGCTGGCCCAATGGCAAGGCGCTTGACTACGAATCAAGAGATTGCAGGTTCGATCCCTGCGTCGGTCACTATCTTTTTTTCTAATTTTTTATTCCTCCGACCGAGAATATCTCTTTTTTGCCCTTTTTTGTGGGATCTTTTGGTGTGAAAAAATTTGCTTGATCAAATATAAATTATTCTACATGTTTTTGACAAGAAATCCCCACTGAATTGGTCCAAAATGTCAAAATCATCGAATGTGAAAGTTAGCCGAATGAGATATATATATCTCCTAAGGAACTCATGTCCTCAAAACCCACCGAGCAAAGTAAACGAACATTATCTTCCCTTCCAATTCGATCTATAGAGAACATTGGCCGTGTGGCAGTTAAAGCACAATTGTTCCTTTGAAGTTTCTAGTTGAATGCATCGTTTACACCTGCGCAGCTTATGACTCAGTAACAGTTCCGTCCACTTATTCAATGTACACAATCATAGGTATTTTATCCTTTCCTGTACAAAAGCTTGACTGGGATATGCTATCCCACACACAAATGTAGGCCCGAGACGGCAACTTAGTTATAACTGGCTCAGAAGATATTTAGCTGCAAGATATACGAAATAGGCTATAATTGTCATGATTCTGGCGGTTATGTACTCTCTTGTTTGGCATCATCTTTGTTGCGCCGCTCGCGAACTACATGCCTCATGCGCTAGGCCTCACCTGGCATGACTACCATGAATGGTAGGCTAATAGGTCTCTTCGAATATATTGAAATCACCCGCTCGGGCATTTGTGGAACGGATGAGCGCTTTTTGAAGACAACCCAGGTTCTCGGTCGTGAGAGTGTTGGCATTACCAGACCTATGGGTTCAAACGTGACCACAGTCAAGGTTGGCGATTGTGTTGGGTTTGGATATGTGCGCAAGGTCTGCGGCGCCTGTGGTAATTGTGGAACTGGTTCGCATTTTTCTGTCGTCAATCTTCAAAAATCGTCACTCTAACACGTAATACCAGGCTGGGATCAATACTGCCGGAGTGCTAGTATTTACGGTGAATGTGGCTTTGATGTCGGCACCTTCGGCCATGGTATAGTCTGGGATGCCCGGGCAGTTGATGTGTTAAGCTTCAGAATTGGCATATATTAGTCTACAGGTCCTGACCAAAGTCCACACTACATGTCTGCTTCCTATTATTATCAAAGTACTATAGACTAGATTTTGAATGAGAGTATCTTTGTGAAATACTTAGGAACCTGCTCATAAAGTGATATCCCGGGAAACTCGCGACACCTAAAATCCGGTGCTGCTACATACATTTACCCAGAAAGATCCAACACAACCCGACCCTGCAGCTTTCCCTCCTCCATCTCCTTAAATACCTCAGTCAAAGCATCCATCTTCTCAGTTCGATAATGCACCTTAATAACACCTCTCGCAGCAAACTCCATAGTCTCAATAGCCTCCGCCCGATTCCCAACCGCCGACCCCGTAATATTCCATTGATTGGAGATCATCGTAGACGGGAACGCCGTCGCAATAGCCTGCGGGTCATTTTCCGGAAGGCCCACACAGACCAATGTACCATTGAAACGGAGTAACGGCAGCGCCTGCGCATATGCCGCATTCACAGCCGTACAGACAATCGCCGCGTGAGCACCCAGCCCATCCGCTAGCGAATGAACATGTTTCGTCAGCGCAGCGCCTTTATCGTCCCTCGGGAACTGCGTGATGTCCACGAAATGATCCGCCCCGGATTCCTTGACTAGTCCCTCTTTGCTGCCGTGGTCGATGCCGATTACCCGCAGACCCATTCCACGACTCGCGAGCTGCACGGCAAGGTGGCCTAAGCCCCCACCAGCGCCGGAGATTACCACCCACTGACCGGGTTTCGCGTGGCTACGCTTCAGCGCAGAGTATACGGTTACGCCGGCGCAGAGGAGTGGTGCTGCGGCGGCCGAGTCGAGAGCATCTGGGATGGGGGTTACGTAGTTTGCGGGCCCTAGTGCGTATTGCTGAAATGTTCCTGGTGTGTAGTAGCCGGAGACTTTCTGGTTGAAGCATAGTCCGTCGGCGCTGGCTTGGCAGGGTTCTAGATGGGGATGATGTTAGGTTAGATCTTCGCTGTTGAGGGGATATACGTACGGCAGTTCCCGCATGCACTGGAAACCCATTTGATGCCGACTCGATCGCCGATCTTCAGGTTTGAGGATTCGCTGCCCGCACCGAGCTTGACTACCCTACCCACGCCTTCATGGCCGCCCACTTGGCCTGGCTGGGTTGGGTATGGGAAGCCGGTCCACTGGGGGATCTAAGTTAGTTCCCGAGACATAAAAAGAATAACTAGGATGTGCGCATACTTTGTTGGTCATGATACTAAAGTCCGAGTGACACACGCCCGAATGTGTTCTATTATTGTCAGTACTATTCTAGTGTAAAATCACAATAGAACGTACAAATTAATCAGAACCTCGCCAGTACCAGGCTCTGGAATATCGAGTTCCACAACCTTCGTCGAAACCGTCCCAGGCTGGTCGTAGATGACGGCCTTTTGCTTGGTAGGGGGTGTGTGAACGGTCATAATGACTGATTACTGGTGACAGATGGAAATGAGGTTGGATATTGAATTATGAAGTCGATCTTAATAGGGGTTTTAGCGCTGGAGAGATGTGTGTAGAGTAAAAACTTGATTGAATGCTGCGATGGGTCTTAAGTACATAGTTTATCCCCTCACGCGCCAATTAGTAAGAGCGGAGAAGATCAAAGTGGGAGGGCTTCTGGGCTAAATCGCGGGGTTTGAGGCGTTCGAATAGGATCATTGGCATACGCTGGCTAATGCAGCTTTTACACGGATGCACGCTGTGCCTCGGATGGTTATTTAGTGCATTATAACGTTATAATAATGGATATTTTTGTGCCTGGATGAATTGAGGGGTGAGGTGCGGAGTCATGGAAGAACCTCGGTTACATCCCTGTATATTCTTACATTGCAGAATGGACACCAGAGTCAGAGTATAAGAAAAATCTGGGGAGGTGGAAGACTGCGAAGGCTTTATATTCATCGGAGAAACCCCAAGGTCTCGTGGATGATCACGAAATGTACCGTGATTGTTCCACTCCGATTTGGACTCACCCCTTGCCGCTTTGTTTACGAGCCCGAGAACACACTTGGATACATCCATGGTTAAGATCCTGTAGGTCCATGGTAGAGCTGAAAGGTTAACACAATCAAAGCGGCTTCTGCCTGTGCTATTCCTATTTAGGAAAACTAAGTATGTGTTAACTAGTATACTTCGAAATAGCACCCCTTGAATGAAACCCAGCTTAGTTTATTTACATCGTCTCATTCATAGCATAATCCTTTTAGTTTCTACAGTGTCACCCATTTCCATCGCAATGGAAGGTCTGAAGCAAACAAATTTGCGAGCGCATCATGGGTCACATTCCAGATCTGATCCAAGATCTTCCTCAAACGGTTGATTCGACGCCAATTCAAATACTTGGCGATACTCCCAACAGCGTTTTAGACCCTGGAGATTATCTAGGGTCTCTATGCCCATTTGTGTCAAAGACCCAGGAGTCCTTTCACGAAATTCACCCAGACAAACATGCTTTCTAGCTGTGAAGATATACAGAAAGGTGCCTTAGCATGGATATTTTTTGAACACAGGACACCTTGAACAAAGTGGTCTTTTCAAATGGTTCTCCACCAGACCGATAATTCACTGCCTCGAGAGATACTATGTCCACCGATCTAAGCCGCTATCCTATATGCACATAAAAAACAAACATCGGAAGATATCAATATGTACCCACAAATTCTACGCATAAGAAGCCCAGCCTATTGAAAGTTAGTAAAGTAGTTGGTGACAAAACTCAGGGGAAGGATAAAAGAAGACATACCACAGTACAACATAGCAAGGTTCTTCTCATCACACGCCTGCTGGACTAACTCATTCACAGTAGCAGTCACGCTCAGCGTTTTGCTTAGTTTTTTCGCCACCACGGTCAATGCACGATCAGCTTCACTAGGCTCATTCTCATTCTCACTCCTCGAGGGGGGATCTTCAGCCGCGCCAGGCAGAGCCGGAGGGCCATCACCAGCTTGGTTATCTTGCATCTGCATCTTCTTGATACGAAGCGGAGAGACAGTCCAACTATACAGTGGATCGTAACGCAGTACGTCAAGGATTGTCATTATACTGTAGGATTCTTGGCGGAGTGCTTCCAGAGTGAATTCACAGCAGCGCCGGAAAACGCCTTCGGTTTTTGTGATACCGAACCCATCAACTAGATCACGCGTTAAGCGGAACGGGACCACCTCCGGAACAGGTAGCACCCGTCCCTGCTCAAATGCTACACCGAGATCAATATGCACCACCTCCCCGGTTTTCTCATCAAGCAGGATATTATGTCCATGTCGATCGCCGAGGCCGAGCACATGACCCAGGATAGAGATGGCAGCAGTACTTCGTGTGTATGCTAGCCGCTTGCTAAACCAGTCATCTGGGTTATTGAACTTCTCCATGAAGAAATACCTCAAGACTGGATGGAAATGCTCGGTCACCTGTCGGTAGGTTCTGACGCGTTGCTCAAACGATTTGGTCTGCACATCGGCGATGTGTTTCCGGCAAGAGTTGGGTTTCATGTCCTTGGGGAAGTATTTTTGATGTGCGGGCATCAGGTAGTCGTGGAGAGGAATTGTGTTCGGAACGAACTCGATAATTCCGGCGCTTGGTGTCAATGGGAGAACTTTGTATGTTCGGATGCCTAAGCTCCGCTGGCGTGTGGGTTGGTGATCTTTCAGAAGACTGCTGACTTGCTCAAATACTTGCTCCATGATGGCATCTTGACGCAAATCATCATTCCCTCCCTTGTACTGTTATTTTGTTAGTTAAGAACGTTGGCAAATAAAGATAAAGCTTACCAATTGCTTGTACCGCTCGCCGTTGGATGCAACGGCGGTCACAATTTTCGGCGCGCTAACGCCGGAAGCAATCGTGAACTCAGGGTGAAACTTCGTGACGGTGGGAACATGACTGTAGTTGCAATCTGCGCGGAGATCGATTTTCATTGTCGGCGGTGGAAGTTTGTATGTGATGGCATCTTGTCCAAGGCGCTGGCCAGTAGTCAAGGTCTTCAGTGGAACTTTAGCACCACTTTTGTATTTGCTGTCTGGTTTGTCGATCGCAAATCGCACATAGCTGATGTTCACATTGTGCACAGCAACCCAAGTCTGACCGATCAGACTGTCATTCTTTAGACGATCCACAAGTTGATTTGCCGCGCGGAAACGCGAGTGAGACGATTGATCTTTCCCTCCTTTGGACTTGCTGCTAGCAAAAATCTGGTACATGCCATGGAAAGGATGCTCAACACATATCTTGAATACTAATTGAGTGAGTAATGCCTGGAAGTCGTCGGATACATCGAGTAGGCGAGATGATAGCTGATTCATTAATGGCGCAAATTTCCGGCTGGGTACCTCGTTGAGATACCTAGAAACAGCTGAATTTGCAGTTTCACTGTCCGATTTGTCAAGCCAGAGTGCACAGAAACGTAGAGCATCATTATTGTAGGCATCGCTTTCCCTCAAACTGAGAAGATAATTCTCGAGGCACTGCTGTAAGAAATCCTCCCGACTCCGCAGCAAACGTTGATATTCGCGGTCGTCAAGGTCGAACCATTGCTTTGCTTTCGCCCGATAGTTCTTTAGGTATTCTCTTTCCTTGCCTGTGGCGTTCTTCATCATGTCTTCAAGGCCAAGGACTTCTTTCTCCTTGCGATTACGCAGTTGTTCCACTCGCTTGAAATCTTCGAGTCCATCGGGGTTCAGTAGCTGCTGATCACAAAATGTTGCAAATCCGTGATAGACCCGTCCAGCCTCTTCTCCATCGGAACTTCCTTTCAACTCCTTGACCGCGGGATATAGGTACTCTTGAAGAATCGAGTCCGGCTTTTCCAAACGCGCTTCAGCAACGTGGTGACCCTAAACATGATATTATTAGCACTTTAGATAGAAAAATCGTCAAATGAGATCCAACTTACCAAAGTCACGAGAAGTTCGGCCCGACTGAGAGGGATTGCCTGCTTATGAAGGTCATTCTGGCATTTTAATTGCTGCAGCATGCGAATGGATGCAGTCATCTCTCCTTGATCCCACAGGACATTAGCAAGATCAAATTTTGCGGCTCCGTCAATGTTCATTCCCAAGGCTGCGCACGGTTCGGCAAGCTTCGAAAGGCTCATTGCAGATTTGAGCGACGCCTGGGAGATACCATGAGTTCTTGTGATTTCCAGGGACCGTCGAATGACTTTCGCTTCTAGAAGTCGCGAATCCCCAAGACTCAGTTTTGCCCGTGACTTGAGGATGTCGCTTTTTCTGACTGATGAAAACAACGCCTCATGCCAAGACAAAATTTCCCCAACTTCATGATAGCTGCTATAGTTAGTATGTATCCTATAGACAGTTCCGGAAAGGCACACACGCACCTCTCGGTTTTCAACCAGCTGCTTCTCGCCATTATATTCTGCCATCCTTCCTCTATATCTTCAGAAGATACGGAGCGCAAAGTGTCGCTGATCTCAGTCATAATTCCCAACGCGCGCATTGAGCTCCGTAGTTGAATAGCAGATCCACTGGTCTTGAGAAGAGAACTTAGTGTTGTCAACAGACCGCCCTCAATCGAGCCAGTAACCTCGAGCAGAGAACCCGAGGTATTGAGACTTTGGAATGTCCGGAATACAGCAGCAGACGGGGACGAATCCAAAGGAGATACGGGAATATCCCATTTTTGAAGACTAGTGGCAGCTTGCAACATGCTGTCAAAGGCGACAGGGGTATCGCCTGCACCGTTGGAGGCAGAGAGCATCGTATTGGCAATACCCTGAAGGTTGGTAGCATTCAAAGCCTTCAACACGCCGTATGATTCCGCACTGTCAGACATCTGGATTTCACTGTCGTATTTTGCACTCTGGAACAAGAGGTTTTTAAATCCAGAACTTTCATACTCTAGTCGTTCCATAACGCTGGTCAAAGATGAGCTCTGTTGAATGCCATAGAACAAATCCGGATCATCAATGTTTTTGAAAACATCATGCAGTAAAGCAGGTGGTGGCTCGTATCTAACGACAGATGACCGACGAGATGTCGTAACCACTCGGGATGTTTGTATTTCCAGGAAAAGCAGTGAGGTTTTATGCAAACCACAGCGATGTGCGGCCAAAGATGCCTCCCCGAAGTCAATATCAAGCCATTTATCGCGTTGGACCATAGTTGACTCATTTGGAACAGGTTGATTGCGAAGGTAGAGAATGCAGTTGATGACAAGCTGAGCGTGAGGTAATGTTTCCTCGCCAACTTCACACAACACCTGTCGGAAAGCAGCAGAGATATCTTCTCGGACCTCCCCCCTTTCGCCTTTATCATCCCTTTCTGACAGCAAAACATCATGAACCATGTATGGCAACAGCTGCACCGCCAAACCAGGAGTCACGTTAAGAACTTTACAAAGAGAGCCAATGACTGGGTCTTCTAAAGCAGCATTCGATAAGAATAAGGAAACGCTGCGAGCCCAGTCA